TGCTGTTGCAGTGCAGCCAGGAAAAGAGGGTTGATGTGTGCGCCTGGTGGAACAGCCTGGAAAGCGTTCGGCTGCGCAAACGGTTGCTGGAAGGGGAATTGGAAGGGGAATGGCGCGGGTGCTTGGCCTTGACCAAATTGAGGTTGTTGCTGCTGGGGATATTGCGGATATCCCGCGAAGGGTTGGGGCATACCGTAAGCAGGTTGTTGTTGCTGATATGCGGGTTGGCCGTAGGGTACCGCAGGCTGGGTCTGTGGGGGTGCAGCTTGCTGTCCATACTGCGAATTGTTGCCATTTTGCTGGTGGTGAGGGCGGTGGTCTTGCTCTCTGTCCCAGGATCCGCCTCCTCGACCACCGCCGCCTCTACCACGACCTCCACGGCCACCACGATCAGCGCCTCGGCCGCGTCCACGACCGCCACGGAAGCCGGGTCCTCCTCGCTCGGTGCCTTCGACAGGCGCCTCACGGGCACCCATCATTTCGTGCAGGTTCTTGGGGCGAGCGAGAGGTGTATATCCATCCTCGGGTGCTCCGTCATCGTAGTTGAGCTCAGTCTGGCTCAGTTTTGAGGGACCGGGAGGTCCCTTCTTGCCTCGAGCAGCACCGCCTTCCTTGGCCTCCTTTCTTTCCTGGCGTTTTTGTTTCAACTTTCGCTTATATTCAGCCTCTGCTTCATCGTCTGAGAACTCAATCTCGTCTTCGGCGACCTCTTCATCGTGGAAGTTGGAGGCATCGCTACCCTTAAGGCCCTTCAGCGGTTGAGTGAACACGAAAGTAGAGTGCGCCTCGACATAGAAGACTGGCAGGTCCTTCACCATACCCCTCTCCTGTGCTTCCTCAGTCGACTTAAACATGACGGTATACAGCGGGTTCTCCACCCGGCCCAGAGTCTCCGACACCACACCCAGCACTTTGCGATCTTCAGAGCACAGCAAGGATCCCGACTCGAGGACTTGATACTCTCCCGAGGTGTTGGCCTCAATGAGAACCGCATTCTCAATGGCCGTCTGGACCCTGCCTAGCAGCACAATCTTCATTTCGGGTGTAATCTGGATGTCGGGAATTGGCAAGACGTCCTCATCGATCTCGTTGGTTGAGCGAATCTTTCCGCCGGATTTTCCCTTGTCACCTCCTTCATCGTCCGACCCACCTTCGGCAAGCATCAGGATTCGGGCTTGTTCTTCGGGGCTGAGGATCGGGTAGTCCTCGTCATCGTCACTGTCGGAGGAATCGGAGGATGATGAACTGTCGGATGATGACTCGTAAGGATCCGAATCGACCTCCCATTCGGGATGTTCTTCTTCCTGCTCCTCCTGCACATTGTTGGGCTGCTCCATCGACGCTCCATTCGTATCTCCCTGGGTGGCAGCCACGGGCTTCTGGTCAACTTCCATCGCATCTCCAGAGCCTTCCTGCTGGCCATTTGTTTCAACCGTAACTTCTTGATTCTCCGGGATGATTGTGTCGGTCACCACTTGCGAATCAGCTTGGGCATTTTGTTCTTGTGTGACTGCAGCGGTAGACTGAGAGGGCTCGTTGGCAGATTGTTCGACGGAATTGTTGATAAAACCCAATCCAGGGATCATAGGAGCCGGTTGAGAAGTTACAGAGGCCTCAGTAAAAGGCACAGAACTATCAAGTCCTGTGTTGGTCACTGGAGTCTCTGCACCCAAAGGTGTGTTGTAGAAATCGCTGCCATCGTCTGGTGTTCTTGCAACCGGGGGTGTCTCGATAGTGCAGGGCCGTTTCGCAGGGGGGCAGTCGCCCATGCCCGCAGACTCGACTGGCATATTCTGCTGTTCACTCATCTTTGAACAAATTCCAAAGTCAAAGATTGCCACAGCGAGTGTTGCGACAAAGTGCAGCGCAAAAAAAAAAAAGTCGCGGGAACTTTTTTTGCGGATCTGCCAAAGTTGCCGTGGCGGTCGCCGGACAAGCTCATTATCGCGCTTATCTACGCTTATCGGGCCAGTTATCACTTTTATCGCCGCGTCAACCTTTCGACACATCCAGTACCACGACAGGATGGTAAAGCCCGAAAGAGCTGATTCGGGCGCGGCCCACGCTCCTCGAACAAAAGCACGGTACATCTTGGAAATATTCCAGCTAAGACTCAGTCAATAGAATTGAGCTGACAGATTGACCTCTCGCAGCCCTCCGCCCCCACCTTTCTATCTCCCTCTGAACGCTACCTTGTACCTGTGCATCATTGCCAACGGCCTCGCAGCTCTATACTCGCCTATTCAAGATTGCGATGAAGTATTCAACTTCTGGGAACCTACCCACTATATCGATCATGGCTATGGACTTCAGACATGGGAGTACTCGCCGGTGTACTCAATTCGAAGCTGGCTCTACGTGTCGCTTCATGCCGCAGTCGGCAAGCTAGGATCCTTGGCCGTCCACAGCAAGTCAGCCGAGTTCTACTTTATTCGCTCCGTTCTAGCCGTCTTCTGCGCCGCTTGCCAGACAAGACTATATTCCTCTATCTGCCGAACCCTCAATCCCCGTATCGGTCTCCTATTCCTCGTGATCGCCTTGTTCAGCCCAGGCATGTTCCATGCGTCAACCGCTTTCCTGCCGTCTACGTTTACCATGTATACATCTATGCTTGGTCTAGCTGCATTCCTAGATTTGAAGGGTGGGCCGAAGATTGCTCAGGGGATCATGTGGTTCGGCCTTGGATCAATTGTTGGCTGGCCATTCGCCGGTGCTCTGATCTTGCCTCTCCTGTTTGAGGAATTCATCATCAGTGTCTTTTCTCGGAACGTCGGGTCTCTGTTCTATGCAGTATTTGATGGTGCTCTTCGGTGTCTCGGTATCATGGTGAGTCAAATACAGAACATTCCGTCACATTCTTTTTGCTAAGATAGACTACACATTTCAGGGGCTTGAAGTCGCGGCCGATTACGCTTTCTTCCGCAAGATTACCCTTGTGCCTTGGAACATTGTCGCATACAACATTTTTGGCGGTCAAGGAAGAGGCCCTGAAATCTTCGGCACCGAACCATGGACATTCTATGTTCGAAACCTACTCCTGAACTTCAATGTTTGGTTTGTATTGGCAATGCTGTCTGCTCCGCTCCTCTTGGTACAGGCCATCTTCCGGTCCCAGGGCACTTCGATTCAAACACTCATGCGCTCCATCACCTTGGTCGCTCCTTTCTACATGTGGTTCGGCATCTTCACGATCCAACCTCACAAAGAGGAACGATTCATGTACCCAGCGTACCCGTTCCTCGCTCTCAATGCCGCTCTCGCGTTCCATTTGATCTTGACCTACATTGGATCCAGCAATCCAAAGGAGATCATCGGTCGTGTACCTGCCAAGCTGAAACTAGTTGCCGTCCTGTCAGTCGTCATGGTGGCCGTCAATGCCGGTATGCTGCGTATCCTGGGAATGGTGACGGCATATAATGCTCCTTTGAAAGTGCTCGAACCATTGCAGCAGGCGGATGTCTCACAGGCCGGAGCTTCTGTATGCTTTGGAAAGGAGTGGTACCGCTTCCCTTCGTCCTATTTCCTTCCGTATGATATGCGGGCCAAATTCATCCGGAGTGAGTTCAAGGGCCTGCTCCCGGGTGAGTTTCCGGATGCTCCCAGTCCCTTCGGGCGGATGGAGGGTGCGTCAAGGATTCCCTCGGGGATGAACGATCTCAACATTGAGGACCCGAACAAATATGTGAGAACTCGAAGTCGGCATTCAATTACCTGTCTATCATACTTATCTCAACTCACAGGTCGATATTTCTCAATGCTCATACTTGGTTGACTCCTACTTACCCAGTCACGAGGCGACGGAAATGGAACCTCACTACGTGCAGGACGAGTCACAGTGGGAGTCTCTCTCCTGCGAAAGGTTCCTGGATGCCTCTCAGACTGGGTTGATCGGACGGCTCATATGGGTTCCGGATCTGCCCTTCGTCCCAGAACAGCTCCAACGCAAGTACGGCCAGTATTGTCTCTTGCAGCGTCGTGGTGGTGACAAGATTGTATAGATAGTATACTGTTCGATTTGCACTAAATCCATCATTTTCAAAGCGCCAAATTCAGCTTGGAGCCACAATGTGTTATTCTTCTCTTCGGCTGCCGGGGCTGTGACTGCCGCTTCATGGTGGTATCTTAAGTCCGTCTATTTCTCCTGCCACCGGGCAGTTGTAAATTATTATATCGCTCGGCAAATTAGTGATTCATGGTGTTGGATATTCGAATCAAATCCACCATGAGAAGTTGTGGTCCAATGCCTTCCTCTTTCTCGAAGCACTTCTGTATTAGTATTACCGTATTATTACATCTCCACCCGCGATTTATCCAGAGTCCTTGGCATCCCCCGGTATTCACGCTGTACAACAGGACAAGCACCATCTTCTAGGGTAAAGACAGCCCCCGTCCAAATCTCCTCGTAACCAGATCGAAGACCAGTTGGAAACTAATATTACTACCATCCAGATAACCCATGACCCCCGCACATCGTATGTAGAAAATCCGGGGGTTCAAAGGTCATCATTCAGTAATTCCTTTACCCGATCAGGAGAAGAGATCCCCTCTTTGGCGCAACCAAACGGATGATAAGAGCACCCCCTCTCCGCAGGTAAACCATAACTCTGCTCGTCGCACCCAGATGGCTACCATAGGCTCACTCCTCTGCAGGCGTGGGTCTACCGGCTGAAAGCAGGCTTGAGATAACCATAGCCCCCTCTTTTGTCCACCTCGAGGCGGACATGACCCCCGGCCCAGCCTATCGATATTGATCGCATCCTCCTCGCATCCGATTGACAGAAATGGCAGCTGGTAGGAGATGACAACTGGTATCTACCTGATGTCACTATTTTGATAAGCTTATAATAGTACTGACATTACTACGGATGAAGATTAAGGGCTGCCATACTGTCTGCCATCTAGTTCTGATATACACGGAAAATTGATACATATGAGATATCACTCGAGACCCTTTTCTACACCTTTTCCCTCCTCAACTCATGACCCATACTCCCCAAACCATGTCAATGGATTTTCTACAGGTGTCCAGTCCGTCAATCTTTCCGGTCAAAGACCTTGTCGGCGCCTTCATAGCTCTCAATCTTTGCGCCTGTGTCGTGGTCTTCGCATGCCGGAAATGGAAGTCCTTTGCCCATCACACCGCTAGACCTGCTACCCCAGACCTGGAGAAACCAGCGTCAAAATTCAGCAATCGAGAGAAGATAACACGTAAATTTGGCGGTATGTGATATCCTCATGGACTGATGCTCGCATCTCTGATCGTCTCGTTTCTAGAGTGGAAGCCGTCGGATTTCAAGAGGCCTACCGCGACACCTTTGCCAGACTGGGACGTTCACAAGTCCAAGCCGATTCCGTATCGGCCTTTTAGATATGGCCCGTAAGTTAAATAGACTTGGGTCAGTCTGGTATCCCGCTGACTCGCATGTACAGGAAATACTTTGTCACTATGGGATTGAGGAGTATGAAGTGGGACGAATGGATTGGTAAGGACACCTTTAACGCCAGTGTGTACTGAATTATTCGAATCTATACTGACAACTTATTCCCTGTCATAGAACTCGACAATCATTATCTCAAATACCACGCTGATAAAAAGAAGCGCATCGAAGAGCGTGGCGAGAAATGCTACGGCACCGCACCGGAAGCAATGGACGGCGCAATCGAGCTTCTCGAAGAACTGTACGCCCTCCCATCCCCAAACCAGATCTTATAGATGAGATATCGAACCCTGAATATACCATACATATACTAACACCATCCCTTTAGATGCGACTACCTCCCCGAACGCTACCCAACAATGTTCCAAAAGACCCCAACCGGCATCACGAACACCATCACCAACGAAACCTTCGACATAACCCAGCGCCCCCTCCCAGAAGACCCCATGGCCACAGCAGCGCGCCTAGTCCAAGACGACCTAGCCCTGATGTTCGAACGCCCGGACGGCGAATACTACCTCCTCGCCGGCGCAATCCTGCTCGCCGGGTTCTGGCGTCTCAGCGATAAATTCGGCATGCCACTCTCCGAAATCCACACTTCGGGGAGCGTGCCCCAATTCCAGGAGAAGCTCCAGCGCGGCATGATGAATTTCTTCCGCCGACTAAAGCCCGAAGAGCCCGTGCTGAGGAACAACTATTTCATTCAGGTGGATGATAATCTGCCGTGGTCGCACAGTATTGGGTCTGAGGATGCGGAGACGGTATCGTGGAGTACAGCGGAGAAGAACAAGGCTATTGAGCATCACTTTTTCAGGTCGGAGAGGCAGTCTTTGAGGAGGTTGCCCAGGTCGGGGGCGGTTGTGTTTACTATTCGAACGTATTTTGAGCCCATTACGGAGATTGTTAAGGAGCCGTACGTTCCGGGCCGGTTGGCTTCTGCGATTCGGAGTTGGGGGGATGATGTTTCGAGGTATAAGGGGAAGGCAAAGTATGAGGAGGTGCTGTTGGAGTATTTGGATGCAAAGCATGAGGAGCAGGTGAAGGCGGGATTGGAGTTGGATAAGGAGGATGAAGTGCGGAGTTATCCTTTATGATAAATAGAGATAGTCATTTCAATTTTTTGATTGCTCTATTTATGATGCTATGGCTCATGTTTTCTAAGTAATTAGTGGTTTCTATCACACTCGATAGTGGTGGTAAGAGCGGTCTTTTGTATGTCAGATATCCGCCAAGGAACCAGCTCTTCGTCTCCGATTTCGAGTAGCATAATCCAACTCGCGTTCCTGACGCCATGAACACTCATCACGAAAGTCGCAGATCCGGCATTTCCAAGCTTCCACAATACCAACTCCTTGGGGATTGCGCTGGCCGCGCCACCACTCCATCTGGTCAGTGAGATAGGATGACATCGTGTTTGGGTCGAAGAGGAAGGATCTGCTTCCCAGGAGCCGGGGGTGGAGATCAGTCGTAGGAGCTGACGAGAGGAACCGGGCGGTAAGGACAGGAGAGATGAGAGTAGGATAGTCTTCGAGCATCGTTGGCTGTGACCACGATGGGATAGATGGTGCGACGGGCTCTTCAAGTGGCGAGAACGTAGGAATGAAGGTAAGGCGGAGTTGCTCTTTCATGTATCGCCAGAGAAGATGTAGTGTTCCATGCGTCAGGAGAATACTCGTCGAGTCCTGGCTTGCATTAGGAAGGTTGGAAGCTGGGCCCGAGCCATGAGAGGCTTGCACCGCCTCTTCGGGTGTAGGAACATTGTCCAAATCAAATTCCTGTGATGAGACGGCATCGAAGAATTCATCATTCAAGCCGCCAACTTCTGATATAAATGCATCAGTGAATGGCTTCTCGGGATCGAGATTGTAGCGCGCTGCGAGCACATCCATTGTGACATCGTCGCTCGTGATAAGACGGTTCAGCATGTGGTAATAGAGTTGTAGTTGAAGTAACGTTGGTCGGAAAGACGTGCTCTTGACTGTCGGCACAGAGCCACTCGCTTTCGTCTTGACATCCGTCATATATATCCGCGGTAAGCCATAGACTGCCGGGTCTTCTTCCGTGGCAAGTGTAGGCACTTCCCCGGGAGCTCCCAGGTCGGCGAGATCTGAAATCCGCTTTCCTCCCTGGGACGAAGACAGCAGGAAATCAGACAACGACATCTGATACTCAGGCAAAGCAGCCCGTGACTTTGCCGCATCTTCATAGTATCCAGCAGCCGTAGCCTCAAGCTCAGAGTCGGGACATTCGTAGGAAAGCTGGTCAATGACCCCATTCACCAACTCCCCATCCACAATACCCCAAATCTCTAGCTCCCGCGTGATGCCATACTCCCTCAACATGCTTAAGCCCTGTATGACATTCCAAATCCGCAGTGCCCACGCATCCTCCTTGGTCTTGATCTCCACCGGGACCGTGGTGTAAATCTCATCCTCAAGCGTCTTATGCACGACACTCCCCTTCTTCATAGCGGGCGTCCTCCTCTTCCGCCCATGCTTGGTCAGAGTATACCAATACTGCAGCTCACACCAAGCGGGAGAGACCAAATCTGTAACCGAAAACGCCTTATTCGGCGGTCGTCGAAAGCGCTCTATAGGGGTCCGCGTATCCAGCGTCGGGGCTAGTTGAGTCTCTTGTGTCCATTCAAGTTCGCGTGCGGCACTACGCTCTCGCTCTTTTTCTCTCCCTTCGGTTGATCCAGGATGCTCTACTAAACGCTTCGGAGATCCACGTGTTAGCCTGACTCGAGACGCTGAAGGGCTATACGTAGATCCCTCAAGTTCATGAAACCGGACAAACTCATACCAATCTGGGCACCACTGTTGTTTGGGCCCTGGCTTGACCTTCCAGCCATGGGACTCCGCGGACTCGTCGGTCCAGGCCAAGGTCGCTGGCTCGAACGTCTCCATGGTGAACCAGGCTTCTCCCGGCCCAACACCTTCGGCAGGCGGACGCCCGGGGCATTCGTGACAGCATCTTCGATGTCTGCAACTAGCGGCGCTAGAGTCGCCGGTTGAAGGGAGTCGAGATCTTCAAGTGTCGCCGCGACTGGGGTAGAAATTGTATCTTCGGGGATTCGATTTGGCGTTGGCGTTGACACCGGGGTGGCGTCGCGTTGGACGGTCGCGTGTTCCGCGGCAGCTTTGGTGACGAGGTGGTTCAGCAGCTCCTCTTCGTCTGGCGTGAAGTCGGATCCGTAGTCGCTGGAATCAGAGACTTCAGGCCGCGATAGTTGCAGTGGGCAGGACATGCCTGCGACTATTGAGAGGGGTCATGTCCTGTGTGGTATGTAGAGTGGAAGGAAAAGTAGATTGTGAGGCGCGAACGTCATTGCGGAAGGCTGCGAGGCACACTCCATTAGGTTTTTTTTTTTTTGACAAACGGCAACCAAGTCGAATTCTGACGCTTTCAGTGAGCTACTATTCTATTCAGAATTTTCTTTTAATCAGAATGTTATTTGATTGAGAATTGAAAGAACGAAAATCTATATCTATGATCGAAGCTTGGTATCTATCCAATGACAAAAAAAATGCATCGCTCCGAAGCCGCCAAATGAATCAAACGCCTGCAAATGACAAGACAATGAACTCTATACGAATGTCCAATGTCAGAAACCCTAAAACTCTCCATCCTAAGCAGCAGACTTTGCAGGAATCAAGTTCCCAGCCATCACTTGCACGCTCATAGCCTCGTTCTCTTCCACCAGCACCTCACGAGCAGCCTTCTGATTCAGCCAGCTCAAGTACGTCTGCCAACCAACGGCGATGACACCCGCGAATACGTTCCGGAACTGCGCCGGGATGTATATGATGCTGAAGGCAGTGACGGCGGGCCAGAGCTTGGCGCTGTTGGTCACGCTGACGGGGAGAGCCTTCTTGAGGCGCTCCCATGTTTCTTCGAGAGTTGCGCCTGAGAGGAGGGAGTGCACACTGAAGAAGTACGTGTTGAACACGGGGGTGAAGCAGATTTGTTGGACGACGACTTTTGTCAGGACGGAGAGGAGCCTGGAGGAGAAGTTGAAGTGATTGTGGATGAACATGAACCTAGACTTTGAGGTCAGTCTTTCTGGTGTCTACCAAGATCCCGCTGATCAGGTGTTCTGCTCTCGGCAGCTTATAACCGGCAGCGACTTACCAATTATATGACGGGATACTCGATGAAGCGCCCACGATCAAGTGTCGCACTGTACGCCACGGATCATACCCACCCCCACGGCTGACCTCCTTGTCATCCCCATTCTCCAGTGCCTTGGCATCTTCCTCCGTAGACTTCGCAGGTGGAGGTGCCTCCGACGGAAACAGCAACTGTGCGCTCAAGTCTCCACACAAATAAACAACAATAGAGCTGCAGATCTGCGTCGCATACGGCTTTCGCTCCTGCACGCGCGCGTACCACCTCCCTAGCTGTCCTAGAGGACCGGCTCGTATGATCTCGCGCAGTCCTCTAGACCGCATCACCGCATTCGCGGCACCCGGGGCTGTCGCTGCGCCTGCCGCCGTCACTGCGGCTGCGGTATTCACAATCCCGGCTGGGGAAGGAGACGAGGCATTTGACGGTGTATTTCTTGGAGGCGCATTCGCTGTCACTCCATCACCACCAACCTTGCTCTCTGCGGGTGTCTCGGGCGTCGTCGGGGCATCGGAGGATTTGTGTCGTCGCGGCTGGCGCACCCGTCGTAGCGGCGCTCGAATACTGGGGTTGATCGGCCGAGGACGAGTCGCAAACGCCGATGCTTGGGCACCGAGTCCCCTTTGGAAGAGACTCATCTCTGGGTATTCAGATACTCGTCATATACAATGAGTAAATGACCAGGTATGACCAGGGCCAGCAAAGAAAAAAAAATTCCGGGGTGATTTGGGTATACACGGGGGCTAAGTCCGACGATAACGGAGTAACGAAAAGCACCGATAACGGAAGGTGGTTCCGAGTGGGGGGAATCAAAGAATAAAACAAGCAAATGAAGGTCTATAGGGGTATATGGTGAAAGCGAAGGTGAGTCAACGAAAAACCCAGGAGGTGTCTATACGATAGACAAGAGTGACTGTGATTAAAAATCAGAGTTAACTGTGACCAGTATTCGGCAGTCGGCCTGCGGGAATGCCGTGATTCTCCGATAAAAGTTATTCCCGGGCGGAACTGTAGGATGAGATCAGATTGCCGAGAGATTACGATCTTGCGTGGGGTTGACTGGGGCCACGGAGCTACTACAGTAAACAAGAAGCTTACATTTCAGAAATCAGACTACCGTTACAGTCTTTACAATGCAAGTTTTTCGAGGCAAATATAGACATGTAAAATAGATCACGCCATATCCAGAACCAACTCCAAATCTATATGCAGGGTAATAATAAAGTCCGTGAGTACATGAGGCCGATCCCAATTGTAAACATATGGGGACATGAGGTATCAAAAAAAATTCAAACCGAAATGCAAAAACAGGCGGGAGTATAGTCACCGCACAATGCAAAGACTATGACAAAGAAACTTTTTTATGGTAGAAAAGTGACGAGGTAGACACTAAGATTAGGAAACAGGAGGGCATTTGTGTATATAGTGCGAGAGGCGAGAGTTGAAATGATGAAGTGAGGGAGTGGGGAAGTGTTTAGGCCTTGAAGGACTCGCGGGTGTTGACACGGTCAACAGCGTATGGGTTTCCTTCGTAGGTAGGCACGCGAGCCAGCGAGCCCATCGTGCGAGTCGATACGGTTGAGTGAGCACGGCTGCGGGTACGTTGAGCCGCAATGGGCTCGTCTGCGGTGTGGGAGGAGGAGCTCGACAGAGAAGGCTCGTGCGGGGCAGGCGCCTCGGTGCGATCAAACTCGATCTTCTCCACCTCTTCCTCGCTGGGAATGGTGGTCGCCTGTTCCTGGATCTTGCGCATGAAGGCCTCGGACTGGGCAGCGAACTTGCAGCGAGAACGGATAGCGGCACCGTACTTGTAGAACAGGAAGGGGAAGGGCACGCAAGCCAGCGCCAAGAAAGCGGGGATCGAGGACGCCCAGTGGATGCCGAGGTTGTTGTACATGTAAGTGGTGAAGAGAGGGAATGCGGCACCGAAGAGGGAACGCATCACGGAGTTTGCGGCCAAGACGGAGGCGGCGAAGATGGTGTATGCGTCGATGAGGTAGTTCATGATACCGAGGAAGACAAGCACCATACCGAAACCGAAGGGCACACCGGCAGCAATACTTGCCATGAAGTGGATGCTAGGGTAGTTGGTCCAGGCAAACCAGAACAGACCGATCGGAATAGCAATGCAAGCAACCATGGTCGGGGGCAGGCGGGCTTCGGGAGGCGCGAATCCGTCGTACTTTTCTTGAGCGTTGACGTAGCGCTTGTTATCCCAGAGGGTGTAGACGACGGCAATCAACATGCCAACCATGATACCGAGGAAAGCAAGACCACCAACACCCTGGTTCCAGCCACGGTCGACCTGGTACACAATCGGGAAAGCAGCGAACATCATGTACAGAGTACCATAGATGATAGCCATGTAGAGCGACAGCAGGAAAACGATAGGCTCGCGGAAGAGGAGAATCCAGGGACGGGACAAGGCAATCTTGAACGATTCCTTCAGCGTGATTCTGCCCTGATCAATATCGATCTTACTGCGGTAGACCTTGCCGGTAAGCTTGGAGAGCTTCTCAGCACGACGGCGCAGCAGCACTGGCGCATAGGTCTCAGGCACAATCAAAGAAGTCACGATCCAAACAGCACCAGAGAAGATACCCAGGAAGCCCATCACCCACTTCCACCCCTCATTCATACCCAGGAAACCACCGATGATCGGGCCCAAAACGGGACCCAAGAAGGGAGCAGCGGCGAAAAGACTCATCGCGATACCGCGCTGCTTGGCTGAAAACATGTCGGCGATAACACCACCGGCGTTGGTAAGGGGCGATGATCCAAAGGCTCCGGCGAAGAAACGGAGGATGATGAGAGTATAGGCATTCTTGGAACCGGCGCAGCCAGCGTTGAATGCAGTGAGGGCGGCATAGGTAGTAGCAAAGAGGAGTTGACGGCCGAACAATTCGCTCAGAGGAGCCCAGAGCAGAGGACCAACCTATGACATGTTAGTTGTTTCGTTTTTCGGAAAGAGGAAAGCTCAAGCTCAAACGAGCTAGGCAGAACTTGCACCGAGCTGGGAATAACTTACAGCAAAACCGACGACGAAGAGCGAGACACCAAGAGTGGCAACTTCGGTTCCAATACCGAATTCTTCTTCGATTTCCGCGACACCACCGGTGTAAGCAGAAGAGACCAATGCAACAGCCAGCGTTGCAATAGCCACCACGGCAGTATAACTCCACTTCCTCGTTTGGCTGAAAAGCATCGGGTTACGAGGGTCATCGGGGATCCAAGTCACGGCATAAGGGTCGTCTTCAGTGCCGGAGCCGGGATATGGGTGGCTTGCAACCTGCTGGGTGACTACGCCTTGATCGAAGACCAAACGGAAGTGAGGAACAGAGATGGGAAGAGTGGATTCGATCTTTTCAGATCCATTTTTCTCATCGGGGCCCGCCATAGTGGGCGGATGTATTGAAAGTGGGCTTCGTGGTATGTCGTATAGTCGGCAGGTAGACAGGATGCGATGCGAAGGAAAAGACGAGGGTGGGAGGTATTAATGACGCAGAGAGATAGTCAAATAATCAGAGCCGGGAAGAAAAAAGCCCCCAAAATAATAATGCTCGGGATTCCCCCAAATTATGTTTGGCTTGGAAGGATAGTGGGAAACCCTAGTTATGCACCGTTTGCGGGGGAGGCCGATAGGGAGAGATGATATACCGGATTCGGGACCGGGGTCGATTAGAGATCGGAAGATGAGTAGATAGTGAGATGCAGTTAAAGAAAGAGGATAAACAACTCCTTCCAGAAGATCGCAGGACCAAGGGCCCCCTTTTTGAATAATGGCAATGGATCGAATCTCCTACGAGGCTACGAGTCAGGCGATGGGGCCTGGATTTGTGGCGTTCTGGTTTTACATACCTATCCATAGATTCAGGGCCGGATGTACGCCGATTTTAGGCATTAAGCTACATAAATGTGCCCACTGTGCATATCGACCTTGGGATGATAAATCAATGCCCCAGCAACAAGAAACACGGTTAGTCAGAGTCGAGCTTGACAGCATTAAAAAAAAAAAGTGGATACCGAACGCCGGCCCGTGGGCCCTGTAAAGCTATGCTCAGGTACTGTGTATATTTGAGATAGAAATATATGATAGTCTGGTCGTCAATGACAGCCAACGCATCACGGAATGTCCCCTTATTCTCGATTATCAACACTAATTGACGCACTGGCACCGTCTATAATAACCCTTGTCAGAGGGGGCGAGAAACTAGCAGGGAATACACGAGTGTCTGATTGCAGAGGGATGACGCAAACAGCCAGCGCCACGTGACGGGATTATGCACGGCATAAAGCCACGTTTGCTGGGGCGCCGGGTACTCGGCACGGGCCTAAGTCGCGGACTTAAAGAGTCAGGCTCGAATAATCATCCTATCGACGTGCAGTCGGGATGTTGATTGGTCATAACGAGACGGATGCGATGGGTCGATTCCCGAATGTCACGGAGCTCACGAAGATTCAGGGTCCGATTCCTAGTTGAGAAAGTGCCTTGCTATCTCTATGTAAACATCCATAAGATGTCGTCCTTTGTATATCTTCTGACCTTGATTTCTGTAAACTTCCGGGATAAAAAGCCGCCATCTACTGTATATACACCTACCATACTTTCAGTTTTCAATGGTTCAACTTAATTCTCATTGCGCAAGGGCCACAGCCGTCGATGGCTTTATCACATACATACGCCGCATCCAATCCAACCAAGATGCGGGCTTCGGGTTCCGGATCTCCGTACTGGGGCTCGTTGCTGGCGTAGCGCAGTCACCAGCGGAGTACTCCGTACGGATCGATTTAATGGCGATCCAAGTATAATAATAATTCAATCATCTTGATGCTCTGATGCAACAACCTTACCCTACAAAGTGGGTCTGGAATACGAGTTGCTTTAGAATTGATAAGCACCGGCCCCGAAATCCTTATTTATGCCAGCTTTGTGTCGACATACCCTTCATACGAGGTCTGCTCATAAATAGTCAGCCTTCTTTGTGAACTGGAATTGGATAGACAATGCTTTGTCACTTTCATCTTTTAATTACGATTCCACTGAATAGTAGCCTGTTTAGTACGACGTAGACATCAAAATAATCAACTATCGAAGGAGCTTGACGATTGTCATTCGTTAAGATATATCCTCTGCATCCAGTCAGCCCCATCCCACTGTTGAGCGTAGGGCCATGTCGATCGACTACCAGGGCCCTAGAAATGGATCATGAAAATGCTTATTAACGATTTATCTAGTCTAAGTAACTAGTTAGTAACTAACGTGTCTCCCCGACTTAGTCACTATCGATGGCAGGATCATAGTTAAGATTTCGTGGGGCACAGTTGCCCTGGTGCTGATGGACACCTGGAAATTAAGGGTATGCGGCTCCATTGAAGGTCAGGCTGCAGTGTCGACGTTCGTTCGATATAATATCATGATCGAGTCGAATATTCAATATAGCAAGACAGGCGAATATTTCAAGCGATTCGCTCGTAATGAAATAGTCTACAGAAGCCGCTAATAATCAGATCAACTATAATGAAGGTTCTAAGTGTATACATACACGCAACAGGGATGCTACGCGCCTCAAGACACGAGAACAACATTCTACAGGCAGCACACACTGCGACCCGTGTCACATACATAGTCAAATCACATCTGTATAATCTCCAACCCCCATTTATGCCGAGACCCAACGGAACCCGACCGTGGGATCAGGGCATCTCAAGTTCTCAACCCAACAAATCAGATCCTCCCGAAGCGCGGCAACGCCGAAAACCACACATCGGGTGGCGAGCAAGTCCCAAAGAAAAATTCTGTTGCAGGGTAGCCACCGGAAAATTACCCAAGCCCCATGCCACTGCAAGTCTGGAACCGTTGGGGGGCTTTTTTTCTGCCTGAGGCTGCAAAAGAGAACGCAGTCCCGATTACGGTTTCTCGGCTGCCCCCACCTTCGTTGATGTACACTGTGGAAAGGGTGGAGGATTAGAAGGCTGTGATCTGGGTTTTTAAAAGGACCTGGAATATAAAAATAGAACTGTTCGATTTCTAGAGTCTTGAAGAATATGGAGATAGGATTTTTGTTCCGAGGTGTTCCCTATGGCACACAGGATCAGAAGATCAAATTTCGCACTCGTTTCAATAGACTTGGATCATTATGACGTGTACCTGAGGCAGAAACTTATCCACCCGTGATCAGGGCCAGGCTCTACACGGCCAGGGAGATGTCTAGATTCGATATTTCGATGTTTTTTGAGCTGGGAAATTCGCCAGACTAGAGCTGTATCTTCGAGATAAATATTAGATTGTAGTAGGATGTACATTGCTATCCCTATGGGGGTGTTGCCTAGAGATGCATTCTTTGTCGACCCCGCGACGGTCGCGCAGCAGCGGCCTTCTGCGTTGCGGGATGGGACAGTGGAGGATTCATGAATGGAGGGGTTGTATATCCAGATATTGAAGGGATTTTCCTCTCGATGGGGTATCTGGATTCTGGGTTTTAATTTTTGGTTTCCTTGGCGACAAGGTGCCGGTGACTGCTTAGATGCTGGACTGGGCGGAAAGTGTCATTGGCGATAGTCGCCAGGCAGAGACTAGGTATACCATCATTCACAGCGCATTTCTTATCTACGAATCTAGAGATCTAATTTGGACATTTAGAAATCCAGGCTCATCCAAAATATGAACAAGTCAGGGGCAGATAAATGACACAGTGGTATCACAATCTAGGCATCAAGCGTCGGCCGCATCCATCATCTCATGGCCAACCTTGGGCCTACAGTACAACGTACTAGACGCGACAAAGACACGAGTGTGGACCCCACCATCGTGGTAAACAATGACAAATCGTCGCGTCGTTTGAATACGGAACATCACAGGTAATTACAGAGAAGAACGGTTTGGAAGTGGGTTGAATCATAGAAGATCGCATTTTCAGCGTCTATGTCATGAGATGGTGTGCGCTAAGACACCATTCTAAGAGGTAATTCCTTAATGTACATGCTCATGACTGAAACACCCAGTCCCCAATCCAGTCAAGGATGAGGAGGATGGCAGTAGCATTGATTCACGCGAGATAATAAAAGCAAAATTCAGAAACAACCCATTGATTCCGAGCCCATTTGATATTGGAAAGAAAGCAAAAACCCGTCATGTTGATCGCCAGTAGTCATGAAAGAAAAAGCAGAACCCCGATCGCCTTCCCAGAAGATTTGTCGACAAGAAAAGCAGCTATTAATGGAATAAAGAAATGTTCCATCTAAGAGCGCTCGCCACGGAGGCGGCGGGCCAGCTGGATGTCCTTGGACTGGATGGTAACCCGCTTGGCGTGGATGGCGCACAGGTTGGTGTCCTCGAACAGGGAGACGAGGTAGGCCTCAACGGACTCCTGGAGAGCACCGATGGCAGAAGACTGGAAGCGGAGATCGGACTTGAAGTCCTGGGCAATCTCACGGACCAGACGCTGGAAGGGGAGCTTGCGGATGAGCAGCTCGGTGGACTTCTGGTAACGACGGATCTCACGGAGAGCGACGGTACCTGTGGGTGGATTGTTAGAATGAGACACACCCCATGCATTGCAAGGATGATTGTTAAAGGAGACATACCGGGCTTGTAACGGTGGGGCTTCTTGACACCGCCGGTGGAGGGGGCGGCCTTGCGAGCGGCCTTGGAGGCGAGCTGCTTACGGGGAGCCTTGCCACCAGTGGACTTACCTGTAAGAGACGGATGGTTAGTCAAAGGAGGTTGTGGAGGATCAGGACGCGTCGCGTCTCGAACCCCTCCGTTCGTCCCAAACGGGAAGCGGCGCTTCAGGCCACAGCCAATTTGAGACGATGACGGAGGGAGAAGCGAGAGAAGCGAGCGACGGCAAGTGAAACGAAGATAGATAAACTTACGGGCAGTCTGCTTAGTACGAGCCATCTTTGATGATGAAAGTGGATGTGTGGTTGATGGAAAAGGTTGGTTGTCGATGAAGGTCGTTGGAGGGATGAAGAACGGAAGAAGTGGAGGGTGGGGGGAAGGTATTTGTAGCAGTGGCTAAGGGGGTGGTGATCTGGCGGTTTGCGGGTGGGCCAATCATATTTCGCGCTGGCAGATCACTTGCCTGCACGTTTGTGCAGTATCCGAAATCACGCAATCTGATTGGTTCCCCGGTAGTCTAAGCGAGCCTGGCCCGTGATCCAGCCAATCAGCTTGCAGGATCATTGATCTAGAATGCCATTCCTGCCTACTCTCTGATCTCCGTGCTGGAAAGGGTGGCCGGGTCGATTAGAATGATCGGAGGTATTCTACATGCCATACTCTTAGGGGCGGGCCAGTTTCCAGATCCCAGGGGATCAGGGCTGGCATAGTTGGAGGGGGAGGGTAAGAATCGGATCAGATCAGGATCACGAGGTGACTCAGCAGCAATGGTGAGCCGCCCGCCTGGCAGATCAGCGGCCCTGAGGATCCTCGTCTCTGATTGGTGGATCCTCCCACTAGCGCGTGATCCGACGTGATTTGGGACGGCCTTCCCCAGCAGCGACTTCTGCTACAAATATCCTTTTACCCCTCGGCCCTCTGTCCTCTTCTTCCCCATCCAACTCCGTCGACAACCAGTCTCTCCACCTTTTTCAACCTTTTTTAAAAACTTCACTAACCTCATATCATCATGTCTGGACGTAAGTCTTCTCTTCTATCTTGATGACCCCCATTCCTCGATTGGGTTCTTCATCTCTTCTCCCCGCTCGGGGGTCGTCTACAAGACGCGTCTTGAAAGCAATCACTAACGCGTTTTCCTTCTTCAGGTGGCAAGGGTGGCAAGGGTCTCGGCAAGGGTGGCGCCAAGCGTCACCGCAAGATTTTGCGCGACAACATCCAGGGTATCACCAAGCCCGCTATCCGCCGTCTCGCTCGTCGTGGTGGTGTCAAGCGTATCTCCGCCATGATCTACGAGGAGACCCGCGGTGTCCTCAAGACCTTCCTCGAGGGTGTCATCCGTGACGCCGTCACCTACACTGAGCACGCCAAGCGCAAGACCGTCACTTCTCTCGACGTTGTCTACGCTCTCAAGCGCCAGGGCCGTAAGTTTCTGTCTCTGGTCACCTCCTTTGACGCGTCTCTTCTAACTTTCCTCTTTCCAGGTACCCTCTACGGTTTCGGTGGTTAAGCGTGTCATGTATTTTCTCTTTTCCGGGCTGTTTCACGGTATGATGGGACGTTGGGGTGTTCTCTGATTTATTTTACAATCGTCATGGGTCTCTGGGTTTGCTTTTTCATTACAACGACTACCACTTTTCGCGTCCACTATGGGTCTGCTAGTGTTCGCCTTCTCTGAGCTTTCCTGTATCATAGCGGCCTCCTACAATTACGGCTGGCACCACTCGAAACGGTGGCAAGGATCAATGATCCGATACGAATACAATTAACTGGAAACTACAATAATGATTGTCTCCCTTGTAATTTTGAACTCTCCATAGGCTTTGTATGTTGGTCTGCTTGGTTTTTGGTGTTTTTGGTGGGGTTTGTTCCATTGTCGCGTTTTTTGTGCTTGGGTACGGGCGCGTTCACTTTCCCCTCTCGGCCCAAACGGGCTTGTCAAGCCTTTCTGGTAGAATCGTATCAACATTATAGCTCCGTGTATCTGTATCCAGTCTGTCATCGGGGTTTAATAGCTTATGTGCATCAATTCCGTTGTATATTCTCCTAGTATAGCTTCTTGTTGTTTTCTGGTATGGCTGGCTGCACTGGACTCGACGGTTCATACGTAATTATACGACACTTTAACCTTGCCAGTTTCGGTATTCTGGTGGTTATTTCTACCATTGGGTAATCTTGGTGGGTGTTTATGAGGTTTCGGTATTTGTACTCATTAGAGGGGTGTTGGTTGGGTGGTTATGTACGTTGGTGGTTCGGATATAGTGGATGAGTGATTGTAGACTAGAATATATATTCCCCATGGACAACCAAAACTACCGAGTACCAACTTACACAGACAGTCAGATACAGGTATTTAAACACAAAGAGATGAGAATGCCATACCAGAAAGGTAGTTATAGACTGTAAAATTTACACAAAAAGCAGCAGCTAGTGCATACCAAGTTAAAATGTTGCTCGATTTCGAGGTACTCCGGGAGGGGGTTCAACTGGGGTTCAACCCCTGCAGTCAAGGGTTCAACTTGTCTTGGCACCGGAACACCCAGCACCGAATAGTATCTCCGGCCTCAAATTTTAGCAGAAATGCCAAATCAGGAAATGATACTCGAAAATCGAGAGCAACCGGAATAAATAATCATTAGTTCAAAGGCCACAAGATAGAAAACTCAGCTCACACCACCACAACGTAAGGTAGCTGACCGCTCCAGAGGCTGCAATGCGAGAGAGGGCTGGCCTACAGACGCTTGCCACAACCCCGAGAAACTCCCAGTCGTGAATCAAAACAAAATCGATAGAACCACACAAACTGACAACTGCCTACAGAGAATCTGGTCGAGTGTCTGCAAGAGCCCTGAAATAAGATGGCCGAAGACGGTCGTGGCGCACATGGTCCTCCAGGGACCTTGTGGCCGAAGAGTATAAGATGGCATCACCACCATGGCGCAATATCTCGCACAATTTAACATTCTCCTACCAAGTAGACTGAGATATACTACCAAAGAGTCATACTAGTGACAATAACGCCAATTCCCGACCAACAGTTCTGGTGACCATTGAAACTGAGACCCACTGACCGTGACTGGTGAGTACCTGGGTGGGTAGATGACCGATGCGCGGACCAAAGGAGTTACTGACCAAGCACAGAAACACCCCTAAACACACTGGAGATCAGACAATGGGAGGGGAATCTCTCGTTCATGGGACGTCCTGGTCGACCCTGTCAACCCATGCCTCGACTTCACCCCCAAGTCTACACTGTCGCAACCAAATCGATGTAGAGCCCCAGATCCTAGCTCTTACTACCGTCCTCGGCACAACAGAACTTGTGGAAGCCATCATGCTCCAGCTGGACATGAGATCCCTCATCAAGGTTCAGCAAGTCTGCCAACGATGGAAACAGATAATCACCCACTCCATCCAACTCCAACAAGCACTCTACATCGAACCGTCAAAAGCCCACGCCAAAATCCGCACAACAAACCCACTCATCGAAGAGATAATACTACCCCAACTATTATTACGGTCGAGGAATTTCATAATACCGGGTAAATACCCAAATTTCGAGCCTTGTTTCCGCAAAGAAGCGAGCTGGAGGAAGATGCTTCCTCAACAAACACCCACGTCCACAATTGGAGTGATTGAGATTGTGCGCCATGAGAAATACAGATTCACAAAGCTGGCAGTCGAGCCTGAATCCCTGAGAATGGAACACCTCCTCGACGCCATGGAGAACGGGGTTCTCATGCCCACTCCCAACAACCGGGTATTCTGGACGACCGTCGCCCGATCCCTCAATTTCGAGATATGGGGACAGAATTGGGTACAGACCAAGAGTCCTCTTCCCGACGGGATGCCATGGATACCGGCGAATGTGGACTGGGACACTCTGCGACTAGGTGTGGCGTCCATGTGCCTTGAGCAATCTGGCTGTGACTTTGTCATCATATCCGAATGGCCGCAACGCCTATTCCAGGATGACATGTGTCCCTGCCAGACGACAATTCTAGATCGTTGGCTGGAGAGTACATTTGGGAGATGTGAGGTTCTTATTGCTCGCGAAGAGGCGAGCCATACGTATGCTTTCAAGGAGGGGAACGTTCCAGTGCTGAGGCAGTTGTGTGAGCAATGTTGTCGGAGACGCTTTGCTAGAAGGTTGTTTATTCCATGAATACCGGGAAACGAGATATGACACGTACATAAGCCCTCCACAACTGATTACACAAGCAAAGCACTATAAATCGTTACCATCCCGTAAAATACAGAATCAAGTCTGCCTCGCGGGTATTGCGGGCACATAGGCGCCGGGATAGAACAGGCTTGGAGAGTTCTTCTACCATCCTCTCCAAAATTGGACTCAGATAATGGATTCAATGCAGTCATGATATTGTTAACGAGAAGAACGTCTATTCACAAAGTACCCAAAAACTTGAGATACTAGGACAAAGGCACATGCAGTTTTAGTTCAACTAGAGACCAAGGAAAGATGGGAAAGATCACCTAGCCCCAACTGAGATCCAAATCAAGTCGCATACAATCCCCCCGAGTCCCATCTTCTCGAAAGCCAGTGTCAAACTCGAGCGCACGATATACTTTCTCAACTTGTCCATAGCTTTCACATTAAGGGATATCAGAACTGCGTGAAGTTAACTAGTCTCCGATATTTGAAAAAAATCCCCAAAGCTCGACATCAACCACTCTCCCTGGTACATTGTGACATGACAGATGGTGTCTAAAACCAGAGCTATGGAGTAATTTACAAGACAAACCCAAAAGTTCATCACAAATCATGCCCTTATGCCGCTATGCACATGGCCCTTGATGGGTTCCGCGGCTGGAAGCCATGACCAAGCATGTCCCATAGACAGGGGAAGAATGTGTCTGGACCTCGGTTACACTGTATCAATCGCAAGTGAATACTGCCCATTTCGGAAGAGAGAAGTTGATAATATCCAACAAGAAATGCCGCGTAGGATCATCCAAATTCTTGCTACCCGGAACGGTTGGCTGTTAGAATACGTACAGTTGCCATGACCATACAGTAAACGCCGAAAAACAATGAAAACCAAGACTTCGAATCCACACTGCGTCTTTCTGACCTACCCCCATTCATTGATCATTCATCGACGGCTTCAAGTTCCATCATCGGCGAGGATGCGGTGAAATTTCACCATAACGCATAGGAAAACCTGCAACGATAGGCATATCATACTGAATATGCGAAATGACAAGCCTGACTCTAGAAGACACGGTATAGACCGGACATAAGTAGCATCCTAAGCTCTCAAAAGGCGCAGGAACAAGGCCTCCATACTCGTATCAAGAAACGTAGTATTCGGCTGGATTTAGGCTAGACCCCCCAATCCTACATACTATACTAGAGACTTCTAGAAAAGGTATCCAGAAGCTCCGCTTTCGTGACAAGAAACCCCATGATAGACAGGCGGATCCAAGATTTAGCCCACGTTGTGTTCACAGCTCTCGTGCCTAGCCAATCCAGCTATCTGGACATAAATAATCAAAAAACGCCCGGGTCGTATTACTATCATACTATGAATCACACAGAACGAGCAGCAACTGATATCCATGTAGCCGTTCTACTGCTCTAGTGTGCAATCGCTGATCTTATTGGTCTGGACGACGACCACGTTAGATAGCCACATTTTCTATTGTGATATTTACAGCCTATCTCCGTTCCAAAAACATATAGGTCCACGAAAGAGAAGCCACCGGGCTTCACATGCTTATCGAGTCTGTTGCCTACACTTCCGATGCTTGCCACCCGTTAGATTACTATCCAATACGATCAAGTATGACTCCGTCGTTGAGACGCTAATATTAAACTGGTCTATAAGCCTCCCTTGATACTATACCAAGGACAGGTACTGGATATACTGTTGCCTATACCTCACCCCGCCACAATCCCTTCCACCCGGTTCCGTTCGCGCCACCGAGCCTACGCTATGTCAAGATACTAACTAACAATGGTTGACTCAACAAAAATCCCCCCATCCGCGCTGATTCTATCCACATCGCACCACATCCATGCTATATGCATATGTTACACCAGCCACGATCACGAGCCAAAAGCCACGACATCATGGGTTCCAAAACGTCCACAGAAAGTTCCGGTCATATGCTTCCGCAAATAGCATCCGATGTCAAACTTACTACACCATTCGTGCACCACATTCCGCGCAGCACAAAGCCACATGCCAGCCACGCATTCATCCTATCTACGCAGTAACTCCGTACATCCACATGTATGCCACCAATACCACACTAGCCACCGAATGTTCGAGTTGATGCTATTCCTCATTGAGCAAAACGGACTTAAGTACCTAACCTAACGGAGATCCCGGAGCCTGGATGAGTCATCACGCTTGACGGGAAACACTAACACCGCCACATACAAATTCAATACACGATAGTTAGCCCCACAGTTGAAAGATTTATAAGCAGGTGGAGTCGGTTACATTATTTACATGGATTGTTACGGTCGATCACCACGGCTTATCGATAGTAACTCGTTTTTCATTCTCGTACTCCGTAGTACGGAGTACACAAGGGCGACAAATGAAACTGTAAAACACACACCTCAAAGCCCCATCATCTCAAAAGCCACAAACTCCACAGTGGACCTTTCCAGTCCACCAATCCCTACCAATAGATCCATGGACAACTCCAATTCCCAAACTCCCCTGTCCACCCATAGAGCACAAGATTCGATCTGCTCTATCTCCCCCCAAGTCCAACAGCTCAAAGGTCCACCTCTCCACGCAATTCTACTCCACAACGACGAAGTGAAGCTGAAACAAGCCCATTGAATCCCATTCCGAATCCCCGACATCCCCGTAATTCAGGACCGTTGGATGAGGTTCAAACGAGAGGGGAAAACGTGGTGGATACTATAGATTGCTCAGGTCAGCTCCGGTCAGCTCGCATTGACCGTTTATCCCTATCGCTGTCTCCACTGTACACAGTACACACGTACTCCTAAGCTCCGTGCTCCGTTTTTCGTCCTATAGCCATCAATCTTAGTGGTGCTAATTTGGGGGGTCATGATTGATCAGCCCCGACTAAGAAATTCAATTGCTCTACAATCGACACTTCTGTATCAATCAGATGGAGTACTAATCCCGGGATCTCATCCCGTTGGATTCGGCCTGCGCCAATCGCTACCAACACCGGCCGTGAGAGCCGGGGCTGATCTTCAAAGTGCTATATATACTGTCCATTCCCCCAGCTTCCATAGTGTAGTAATAGCGCAGACATATCCCAAGAACCCTGTCCTTTATGATAATAGATACCGATTTAGCAAAAGTAAACCTACCCACCACTGCACGAGCTCCCAATAAGAATCAACCGAACACCCCCTACAATACCAAAAGCCATTGGGATGTACAGGGTACCACAGCCGCTCCACAGCGGACCCCCCCTAATCCAATCCAACCCCACCGGCCTGCAAAGCCCCTCCCTACCAGCGCGCTTATGCTTAAATCACCCGGACAAAACGATTGGCTCCGACGCAAATCCACTCTACTTGATCATCCTCCCCCCGGTGGGAGGTACTAGTAGGTATTACAGGATGCACCGTGTCTACCAGCACACGAGCTGGGACACGAAGCGATCGATCACCCCGGTACACATTGCTACAGTACCGCAGATAACTAACTTATCCATGCTCCTACCGCTGTAATAACATCCTCCCCGCCGCCTGAACACCATCTCAGCCAGCATCGCGTAGTACCACCTAGCTGCTTCCCGGCAACCCCCTCCACCATCTTCAGATGGGCCACCAGGTCCCTATTCCCATACGGTACCCCTGACAAGCCTTGTGGGTCATGATGTGCCGCCTGCCTATTCAAGGTGAGACTACGGGGAGCTTGGCGTAGTGTGGCTTGCCATGTGAGACTGGGATTGGTCACGTATTTAGGGATGATGGGGCGCAGGGGCCTGCAGATTAATTATGTAGCGTTTTTTTGCTGCGGGTGCGGGTGTGTTGGAGGGGGCGATCCGTGCATATGTACTGTAGGTATACTGTAGCCGACATCGAGAGGTGGAGGAGGGAGGAAGGTGGTGAGTTAGTGGATGTGGTTTCATTGGTCGTGAGGGAAGGGGGTGTTTCAGCATCGGGGCATAGGTTGTGATTGTAGCTACAGTTTCGGATGTATACTTCGCAGAGATCATAGTGAATGTGGTAAAGTGTTGTTGACCATGTCAATCAATCAGGCCATCAAATATCTACAAACTTCTACTGGGGACGGACAATGAAAATGTTGAAAATATTGATATCATGGTTATTTGAGTTGTTTCCACAAGTTCTATCATAAGTATACATCATATCCATCGTCGAGTCCATAATATACATTTTCTCGGAGACAGTCAAAACCCAAGACTGTACAGTGCAACAGAGAAAGCCAAGAACAGACGCGCATAAAGGCAATGACAATGTGACAGTGATAATGATAGCCACGGAAAAAATCAAATCAACCACCCATATACAAACCCCACCAAAAGACAAAAAGCACCAACCAATGCAGGGAAGATCGTCAAATCGTACAATGGTCAAAAAAAACCAAAGGGGAAGGATAAACAAGCCACGCAAACATAGAACTTTAAAAATAAAACCAAAAATGGGGATGATATGTATACAGTAATGGGGTTTCGTAACAGACATGAAAAGGCCGCGAGCAAGAGAAAAACACAAGACAGTCCCCATACGCCCAAAATACAACATGCTTTTTGGTGTTTTCGAGTGTGGTCCAATGCGTCAAGACAAGCCAAAAAATGCCGGGATGGGGCATGGATCAGAAGTGAATCGAATGGGGCCAAGGACACCCTGCACACGTCAGGAGCATAATGGAGGGGGGACGATGTGAGCATCTCGTAGGATAGATGCGTCATCTCTGTGCAGCGGTATTCGATCAACGACGTACGATCGACGTCAACCGAAGGAGAGAGACGGCAATGACGTCAGTGGAGGTCGGGGGAGATATTCAGTTTGTCACTGGCGGAATGGGGTTCAGGCCACAAGGCCGCAATCCCATCCCCCACCCCCGGTAGGGAGCGAGTCCCGAAACGGAGAGGAATACCGACGATCTGGATAGATGTGGGGCCAATGCTCAATCGGGAGTGGGTCTGACGTCACGGGAGCCTTCTTGGAGAGAAAAAAGGGTTTGCATGATTGCTCTCATTCGTCATGGTGATGCTGCTGGCGGAAGCTTCAGTCCCTTCCCCGGCGTCGTTGCTTGCCAGGCCAGTCCACTTCGGGGTGCACCACACGCATGTGTCGGGTCAATGCATCATTGCGACTGAAGGTCTTCTCTTCCGTGCAGAGATGGCATCGCACCTTTTGTTTGCGCGCATTGTGAATCGTATCTTCGTGCCTAGTAAGATCGTAGGGCCGAGAGAAGATCGAGTTGCATGGCTTGCCAGTAGATGGGTTGATCCGCTCGCACTTGTGAGGACCAGCCTGCGAGTTGCGAAGCGAAGTATCCCGAGTAATCAGGTGACCGCCAGGGGTCGTCTGGCGATGCGCCTCACGCTTGTGTCGCTGAAGCTTGGCGGGAGTCTCGAAGCGGAGAGAGCAACCATGGTAGGTGCAAGTGTAGGTACCTCCATCAGAAGAAGTGTTGTTGGGCCGAACGATGCTTTCATTGATCGGCAACTTGGCCTGAGGAGTCATAGTACCCGAATGCAAGTCGCTGCCCGTAGATTCCAATCGCGGAAGCGAAGCAGGGAAGTCTGGAGTCTGCTGCAAGAGATTTGACTGCGGACGGGCCTGTTGGTAAAACTGAGGCTGTTGGACACTTGCGTACTGACTGGGGAAAGCCTCCATTGTAGACATGGCCTGGCGCATGGATCCCGAGCTCTCACGGCGCAGGCCGAGGGCATCGCCCAAGTTGAAATCGGCCTGCTGCGGTGGGAAGAGCGGGGGCATCGCGGCATCCGCGCCTTCATCCAAATCCAACACCGCATCCTTGGGGGACATGGTCTTGAGATCGGTCTGGCTGCCGGTCGAGGGAGCCATGCTCATGAGGTTCTGAGGCATGGGCACGCTAGTTGCCATTTGCAAATCACCGGCAAAGGGGGAAGTCTGGCGGAAGGGGGATCGATCGCGCTTGATGCCCAAAGCCGGAGATCCAGACCGTGCAGACAGGTGACCCTGGTTAGCGGCCTGCAATCGGTCGGCCATGACGTTGCGCGGGTTCATAAGGTTCGAATTCATCGGCTTCATCGTTTGCTGCGGGGCGGCCATAATGGTGGGGTTGAAGAGTTCGTCCTGATAGATATCGGAAATGGTGCGGTTCAACTTGGGAATGCCAATCATGCCACCGTTGTTACCAGCGTAATCTGGAGCCGGGTCAAAGCGTGAGTACTCGTTCGTCCAGTAGTCAAGGTCAGAAAATTGAATCTCACCATTGCTCATCGCCTTGGAATCATCCAGCTCATCCAAACTGGTCTGTGGGGTCACAGGGGAGTTGTGGCTGATAGTTGAGACTGAAGGAGCCAGAGAGTAATCGCCCTGCTGTTGTTGCTGCGCGGGGGAAGTCTGATGCTTTTGCCGCTGGTCCATAATCGCCTTCCTCATAGCCGACTCTGCGTCCACATTACTCGCATCCCAAGAGGATGGTTCGTAGTTCTGGAAAGGAGCCGTGAGGAAAGAGTTCTGGACGGGAGTTTGCACCGGGGTGGGCAGTGGCTTCGATGAGCTATCTGATCGTCGATGGCCGTTATTGTTAGGACCGGAAGGGGCGGAGCGGGAGGAAGCTGAGCTGGGAGAGGCCTTTTGGGGGAATGGAATGCGAGCGGGGCTCAACAACTGCAAATTGCTATCCCAGCCCTGGTTGCTGGTGATCGGTTGTTGTTGCGCCAACATTGGTGTATAATATTGTGAGTATTGTGGAATATACTGCGATGATGGTGAAGCAGAGCCCTGAATGTCAAACGACGGGTTATAGGAAGACGCCGGGGTCATCGAAGGAGCCCCGAAAGACTGGCTATCGGCCGCCGTCGTCGTCGGAGGGTAGGGAATTGAAAAGGTTGGAGAGGAGAAGGTGGGTGACGAGGGCGCGGAGGAGGGCGGAGAGGCGAACTGGTTCAGCTGGCCGAGATGATTGAATTGCTGGGTTGATTGGTAATGGAAAGGTGGTTGCAAGCACGCCTGTTGCTGGTAGTGCTGCTGTTGATATTGGAGAGCGTTCTCGAAGGATTCGGAATATTGTTCGTCTTGTATGATGCAGTCCTCGGGATAGAATGGATCGGTGATGAGACCCTTACGTGGGTACATAAGCATTATGGTATCACGTATTGGGGGGGGACGTCAGTCGAGTGGGTAAGAGGGAGTTTGCCACCGGGGGATGGCGCGCTCTTTTTATAGTGTGAAATTCCGACGGGTCAAGATCCGAGAGTTCCCTGGGAGATGGTCTCGATAACGCTTGGGAAGTGGGCGGAAGTGATCGGTGGGAACGAAGAAGAGGCTTAGTCTGGCACCGAGAAGAGTCTGGAAACGTCGAGGGCTCGTGATCGTAGTTGAACAGGAGTTGGTATGGATGAACCTTATTATTGGATTGGGCTCTGTGGATGGTACAGTCAGAAACTCCGGGTCTGGTTCTGGGAGATGACTCGATCGGAGGCCGAATGAGTCTTACCTGATATAAGAAATGATTTGAAATAAGGAATTCAGGTTATTGATAGTATAATCATGAGTAATGGTGAAAGTTAGGGGAGGGGAGGGGGAAAGCGAGTTTACCAGGCGGGCACAGGCAGTTCTTTAAAAGGCAGATGGGGAAGGCATGAAGCCCATGATGACGTTTCGTACTAGTAGGGGGGGGGGGACCACTTAGATTATTCCAAAATCGGATTTTAATTTTTCTTTTTTAATTTCAGATTTATTTTAATTTTTTTGGAGATCATCTTTTGGTATCGCTCACACGAAGCTGCTATTGGTTTACCGGACAACACCGAACATTTGGCGTACTGTTACGGCCGATTCTCCCGGCCTAGTCCCGATTTAACCTTAGCGGTCACTTATCGTACGATACGTGACGGACTTGACTCGGTCTCGCTCGGCTCCACTGATCGTCCGGGGGGGACCGTGCTGGGATTGTTCTCTTTGGTCCCTTTCGCTGTCCCTCCCTTGCAGACTGCCTGTCACGGTGGAGAGGTGGCTTGCTTTGGAGAAAGCCACAATACCCACAGGCGATGGAGAGGGAAGAATCGACAGAGCATTGGGCATTATTACTGGAAGAGATCCGCGGAGTTAGGAATGAGGGTTAAGATCTACCGACGAATTATGACCCGGAAAGAGTCATACTATCAGTCGTGCTACAGTAGAGTACGGAGAATGTACAGCCGGGAAAACACTGTGTACACACTGTACCGGACTCCTGTCGTCCTCTCGGGCGAAACAGCCCGAACAGATTGGGTGATTCTCCCCTAACATCGCTTAGCAATCTTGGCCTAGACAGGATCATGACTCCGATTCCTTCTCGGATAGGCCTAGAGTGGACCCGGGAGAGGAAAAAAGAATGGTCTGAGAGACATGCTTTCCTGCAGGACCCGGACCCAACAATTCTTTAGCGGCCGCGCAAAGCTCCAATTTTAGGATTTATCCCCCAGGCCGACAGGGCTGAGCCACGCTTAAGGCCTTAGGCATTCAGGATCTTAATGGATGTTGAGTTGTCAAGCGGGCCGCGTGACTCGGGCAGAAAATTTTCCACCGGACCACTAGTTTCCCCGACCATACTCATAGTGTGTCCGACGATTTACTTCATGCAGTGACAACACCGGTACAATACATTCATCGGCAGGTTCTGTCTATTCTTCCGTACGCTAGTCATTCCATTATCAAATACCTATCAATCTTGCACCTATTAAGGTTAGTCTATCGCTTTCTCCGATCGAATGTACAACAAACAGCTATCCCCCGACACTAGCCACAGCTGCTGCGCCACCATATGGCACCCCACTCGATCCGGTTTCCCTGCATTTTGGTTCCTCGTTCTCGTAATTCAAATCTGGTCAACCCGTGTCTGCTAATCTACATTCTTTTCCTGGGGTACGCCCATTCGGGCAGGTGCGCATGAACCCGGCACCGGCGAAGTCTTACTCGTTTCTAGCCACGTATTCGTTTTATTTTGTACCCTTTCCATTGTTGACTTAACCTGCGGGGGGATAGTCCATCCGAGGCCAAAAGGCATGCCAAGACCATCGTTGGATGCGGGGGTCAGCTGACTCGGCCGTGGTGTGAGTATCAGCTGACCGGTGGGTTGACTGTGTTTCGGTGGTTCATGTCCACTACATTTGACGAACTAGTTAGTTTGATTTGAGCTAGTCACAGTCGAGTTTACTGAGTCACTCGATGCGGACACCTCCGCTGGTATCGCAGGAGCCTGGTCACTCTTCCTTGATTTCGTCGGATTCGGCGTGGAGCTGGAGTAGGCAAAATGTGCGAATGGTTGTTGCATTTTTGCTTCGTCCGGGTATTTTCTAGCTTTGCGTATGTTGCGGCCAACGTGATTACCGAAGGATCGCGTCACATGGCCCGTGGTCTGATAGTGGTTGTATACTCCCTAGTGCTGGCCTGTCTAGTCCGTGACGGGGGATCTATGACTAGCCTAGTATGACTACTCCATATACCCGGGATGACTCGCACATGATTATCGACTAAAAATGAGTAAGAAACAATACGAAATCAAGGATGACCAGGTGTCATCTGGAACGTTGACTCAGAATTCTTAATCTAGTCTACAACTAGCGTGGTATTGTTTGTTGGGGGGTTGGATGAGACCAAAGGCATCAAAGAGGAGTATAACCGAAAAAATTTCATATAAACTTTTTTTTCTTTAATTCTTTTTCCACGTTCAGCGGCTTTGCCGATCGATAGGCAGCTTGTCATGCTAGCGCGGACCTTGTCTGCTGAGCGTTGCGTGTAAGGTTTTAAGCGTTCGCTCGTGTTCAGCGCGGGTTACAGTAGGATCTTAGCGCCCGAAAGGAGGAGGGCTGTCATGCCCTGGTGCCCAGTCGTATTGCAGCGCGACAGCCGTACAGCTTACGGCGCTACAACAGCCAGGGCTGTGGTGGCTTGTGCCAACGAACTCCTAACGCCGAACCTGGAGTAAAACAGCAAGGGTCTACAAAGATTTACCCTCTCCGACCGGGGAATTTCACATGACCCGGTCGCCTAGTTCCTACCGGAGTGGACAGTTAGCAGCCACAGCAGCAGCTCGCATCTGGCAGCTGGCATCTGGTGGCGAGAGATGCACGCCGGAGATATTTCAGATCTCCAGGCCGCGACGATAGCCCCGGTAACCCCATTATCTTTAGTGGGGGTCTACTAGAATCAGCCATGTGATACGAGATTATCGATCTAGAGGCGTTTGTAAGCGAGCATGCATGGTGCATCTCGCATACGGAGAATCTCGTTCCTGTCGACCGAGACCGAGTCTCGAGGCTAGACGAAAATCCGACATTCTTCCGGGTAAAAAGGCTACGGTCGGCTTTAGCGCTGACGGGGCCACGATCGGGCGATCTGGTTCTGGTTCGGGTCCGGGGTGCCGTACAATCCATTCGTACCGACCAGGTCTGGCCCGAGTGACTGGCCCTGGGAAACATTCTATTGCCTAATTTGAGTTGAGTACTTCGCTTAAATCCCCGTACCAACTTGTCTCGCGAAGATCGTGGTCTGGTCCGTTCCCAGCCCCTCTTGGCGGCTCTGCGGCCGACATCCAGCTACCTACTGCGCTTCCCAGCAATTCAACCCTCGCTAGAGACGGTTATGGCTGAAGATCCGAGACCAGAACGTGGCCCTGTTATCCGGGGAAGTGGCAAAGTCCGAGTGATGGTCGGCCCACCCTTCAGCCCAAAACAATTCAAAACATCTGCGCAATACATTGGTCATTCACTAGCCAACACACCACAAAATAGACACACGATAACATGTCACTGTACCGGGGCACTCCGTAGGCCCTCCTACGTCGGTGGGATGCACTGCATACGCCAACCTTCTTAATCGGGAACAACCTTCAAGCCCGAGGAAAAAATTTTCACCAACGGCATTAGCAACCCGGTTTCAATAAGCCGTCAGCACCTTAATGACCCGAGTTGCCGGTCCGAAAGGGAGGGCATGAGAGCGAACGAACTCTGCAGAGCAGAATTAGAAACCAGCCCTAAAGCGCTAATGCAAGATAAAAAATTTTCCCTGCAAATGATTGGTGCAAGGACCTTCACAGGGCTCAGCCACAACGTGTCGAGGAGAGAAACGTGCCGTATTACGCGGATACACCGCGGCGTATCGAGGCTAGTGCGCCGTATGGTAAGTATGTAACACGTTTTCTGGTCTCTTTTTGGGGCTTTCTCATGCATGCTGCAACCCCCTAGCCACGCTAGGGCCTTCTGGAAGCCTTCTAGCGTGCCGACATTCCGGCACTGTGATTGTCCGTCGAGTTGGCATCCCATCTAAGTATAGCTGCATGAAAATTTTTTCCTCTTGTGCAGAGGTGGCTTTTAGGTTGCATCCAGTAGAGTTTTATTTAGTCCGATTTGATTTTTGACGCGACTTGATGCTACTCGCTGTTCGTTTGTTCCGAGGAGATGGCTGATTCGTGGAATACATGGGTTCTGCACGTTCCCGGCCGTTTCCGATGGTTGGATGCACGAAGCGTGCCCGTATAGCCATATTCGAGTTTTGCGTAACGGGCAGGCTTAGCAATCCCAACAGAAATATTGGATTATTTTTCTTTGAGTCAGATTGAATTTTTCGACTAGTTTCTGGAATTGTCTTGGAATGAATGCCCGTTGTGTTAATGCAAGGTGGAACCGTACGGAATGCTGGTTGCCTATACTGGGTGATTTCGTATACTCCGTACTCTTGCTTGATCAACAATACGATATTCAAAATACGCCACTACTGTAGATACGAACCCCCGGTATGAGACTTGTCTCGATAGCACAGCCCCAAGCACGTCCAAATCCTCGCACGTGGCCTTTGCATACCATTGAAAAGTGAAAGGTCCACTTTCACGCTTGTCTAGACGGCTGCCTTGCTCAACCCCCGACTATTCAGCACGGTCCGTTTGACGGACTGGTCATCCGGTCATTGCGTGTCCAACCCAGATCTGAGACAAGATTGGATCGTACGCAAATCTAGCGTAGTCCAGTCATGGCTGGTAGCCGAGTTCACTGACCGGCGGAAGGTCACTGCGGTTATCTGATAGGGCTGTAGTCGTAGGGCTGTTTTGGCTGGGCTCTCCTAGGGTCCGCTTCGGGGTCCACTATGTTGGGGTTGAATCGGGTCTGGACTGCCCTTTCAGGGATCAACTAGGTTCTATCATACTCCGACTGAAACATTGGACGAGTCGAGCGCGTGGCCTGCGGACTTGATGTAGACCTGTTCGCCGGTCTTTCATGGCGTAGGGTGTTCGTGTTACACGGCTGGTCGCACATGAGGTAATATCGAGGTGAGGTGGGCCAATATACGGTTTGATGCATGTCAGAAGTAAGAAGTAACCCCGAAGAGTATTCAGCAAGTCAGCTTGATGTGTGGGACATATAGATACATGTAGGTCTGAGCGAGGGTTGGATGGAGAGGTCTGATTATAGGATTATCTGGATGTTTGCGAGCCAGATCCTACCCACTTGTCGAAACCACGTGTGCACATATTCTTATTTCGATACGTATATTCTGGCAAGCTTGGACTCTTCTCCTCCTCCAGCGAGAACACCAACCGAGCGCACTTTAAGTGTTATACCCTCGTCGCATAATCAATTCTAGCTAGAAGTAGAGGTATTACTCAGACAGAGAGAACGTGTTGCTGGCGTCGAAGCCTTGAACTTGAACCTTTCTGTCATGTCGGTAATGCCACCCCAGATCTCGTGGAATGTGATGGTCTCCCTGGTCTCTCCTGGGAGCACATTGCATAAGTAATTGACCAAGTTGGATCATAGCATGTGGGGGAAAAAGTGACAAAAAGTAACATATCCTTGTGGAAGACATAGGGTGCGCAGAGACTTGAAGTATCCGGACCATATTGCGAGGCAAAGTAGGAGACAATTTCCTGAACCTGCTAATTGGAACCGAAACCGAATGACACAGGAGTATGGCCTGATTATTGGCCGAAAGACCAATGGGACTAAATCTTCCTCTGTGAAGATGGGAGCGATCTGAAAGTCAGCCATCAGCCACCCAGCGAGTGACACCGTTGACTTAAAAGATGGACTTGGTCATTACTCGCTAGACGCGCGGCTAGCAGAAATATTGCCAAAGCGATCCAATTCCAGCCGAGCATATCAGAGGAGTCGAAGCACAGATGTGGCGTGTTCTGCTGAGAAGAGAATTTACCTTTGACTCACAAGTTTGGCAGGGAACGCGAAGTATCTGAAGGAGACGCCGAGTAAGTCTTATGCTGGACAAATCGTGGGAATTTCGCAAGCTCACTGAATCCCGGTCTAAGGAAGGGTCACCGAGGCGACTGGGGAGCCCATAAAGCGCAAGGAAATTGCGCCGATCAAAAAGTAATTGTGATTTGGCGTGTTAAGCTAGCTCTGGTGGTACTATTCATGTTTTTGCATGCTAATTGATCGAGTGTGGAAGTGAAAATTGAAGACGAAATGCAAGCATTGGATGGCCAATACACCATCAAGCGCGATTTTGACCGGCAATTGTCGTTAATGCAATTGCCTTCAAACTAAAGACTGGTTAGATCATGAAGAACTTTCATCGAATGAGCGGAACTTGTTGTATATCTAAGAACGCAACAGAAAAGTCGAGCCCACAGCATATCTGCATCGTGAATGAATCCTTTAGGGCTCGACGAGGAACGTTTTGAAAAAAAAAACAAAATAACAGTCTTTTTCGCTGGATCGAGAACTGCAAGGTAGGAAAGTAAAGAAAGGAAATTATTAAAATACAATAACCACCAACCCTCGTCAAGTCCGATTAAATGCTTGCCTTCGGCCGATGAGCCCGCTCCATCGACGGACGGTACTCATGATTGGACTCAACGGTCGTCTCAATCTCCGTTTGCGTAAAGATCTTTCCATTGGGAACGATAATCCGCTCCTCGCTCGAGTTGTCCGCCATAGTAGCTCCGATCTGCGTGCCCATCGCTATATCATCCCGGCCATTCATTGTATTGTTGTTCGGATCGGTGAACTTGGTAAAGCCGGAACCGTAGCGGCGTGCGTCGGGAGTACCGGACCAGGGGCCGTACTTGCGGCCACTACTGTATTCGCCGATGAATTTGGGCAGGAAGCGTGAGGCAATGGCTTTGAAGGAGGGGATTGAGGCTGCGAATATGGCGACGTTGGTCTCGATGACGGACCAGTACATTGCAGCGCTGATGGCGTAGGTATAGTCGGCCGATTTCAGCATAGCAGGAATGTAAGTGATTCGGATGATGGAGGAGACACAAGCACTAGAATGGGTGCGGTGTTAGCTTATGATCTGTGTTCTTCAGGTGACGGTATGGGATGTTGGGAGGGTTGTGACTCACAAAAGACCAAGACAGAGAATGAAAATGAGGGCGACCTTTTGCTTTTGTGGCATTTGGAGTTTGAAAATAACTCTGATAGGGAGGGTATAGGTGAGGAGATCGGTCAAGATGTTCAGACCGGCATTGGCGAGGTAGAAAATGTTGATATTAACGCATTTTCCGCCCGCAGCGCCCGTCCATGCCTTGCTGATCGGCTGGCATTGGAAAGCCGCAACGAGCACGAAGGAAGTGGCCTGGCAAACGATCACTCCAATCATGATGTATGAAATGCGAGTGAGATAGCGGTCTCCCAGACGAGTGTAGAACCATAGTACTGATGTTTTGACAAAGCCGAGACATGCGAGGTAGAACATGGAGCTCAACCATACGGCCTGGTGGATATATTAGATATGGACAAGGTAAGGGCTTTCGAAACCCAAGACATACATGTGCATAGGCAACAAGCTTGGTCTTATCAGTATACTCATAGTGTTGCCCAAGTCCGTTTTCGACGGCTGTAACTGGATCAGTTTCCCTGTTCTGTATGAGGGGCTAGAGATCACGACGCACCGATGATAGTGACGGCAATGAATGCCCAAGATAAGCACTATTCTTTCTATCAGTTGAATAATGTAGATAAGGGATGTGTCGTTCGTACGCAAGCTCCAACAATGAGGTCTATCAGGCGATCAGTAAACGCTCTAGTAAGACTGATGAAGCCTACTCACAGTCATCGAGACCCATCTTTCCCAGAACATAGATGCGTGCAAAGAGTCTCAGCACCAGGACGAAAAAAGTTAGGACCGCAAAGGCCAGAGAGATACCAGCAACCGTTGGACCCTGAGATCCATGGTCGCTCGAAATACCCATGATGAAACGAAAGTTGATGAACGAGTGAATGTGTTGAGAAGCCGACGGAGAAGAATTCCAATCAATTGACCTTTCAATGAGCAGATAGAATCAACAAATGCATGGAAGAAACTCTGCTTTGCCTCTTTTCTAAAAGTTAACACCGGCACTGGGAGAAAAATGAAAGTAAAATCCGGGCATCTAACATCCGAAGAATGGGATATGATCGAAGAAAAACAAAGCACCGACTACCCCAGAGTACGTCCAATTGTTCTCGACCTGGGATAAAAACTTAAAAATGGGAAAACAAAGCTACACCAAACTGTAAATCCCCCTTTCAGCCGTTGTCTAGAGACAAGCCCACGCTGCTAGTGCGCGCATGGTGCATGTTCCTGGCAACTTCTAGATCCACCAGCTATTACCCAAAAGCAGCGTGGGTGGGGATTAGCACGAGTCTACCGGAAGTACATACCAAGATGTCAGCACCAGGGTGTCGGCGCCAGGCGACACGTTGAAACACAGACAGCATTAGGCCCGCCGATCAGCGATGTACTAATGTCCGTCTGCTTTGCCACCGGATGTCCCTGTCTGCGATTTCCATAGCTGCTCTGCACATATGTAGACAATGAGCCGAGTATCGAGGATTTCGGTTTCAGAGTGTGATCTACGGACTGCTATTTGTCGTTTCAGACGTCCAAGAGATGCCAGGGAGAACCCGCCTCTCCCCGTACCGAGAGTCAGAGAACCCTACGAAAATCTGGCTTCTCCTGTCCAGATTCTGGGCCCTGTGTCCCACTTTGCATACTTTCCGCAGCTCCTCAAAACTGATACTATTAGCCATTGCCCCTTGTGTCGGGTCAATGGGGATGAGCATATGTACAGTTTGCCATGACTGAGAGACGCTCTTGTAGACTGAGACTCCACTTGCTGGGAAGAGAGAACCATTGGAGCCAATGTTGGTCCTAGGACGGAGTACTAGTACGAGAAAGGAGTGGAGAAATGGTTCGGATTAGCTCATTGCCGTCTCGTATCTTGCCGATTGAGGCGTGTATATACTTTGTGTACGGAGTACTTTGGATCCCCTTGTCGTCTAATAGCCAGTTATCGTGCCGAGGAACAGCCGAGTAGCGCACATAAGCTTTGTTTGACAGACTACTTCCAACCACCCTTCAGAATTCCCATCTCCCGTCTCAAGAATCACTTCGACTTCCTGCAAAGTCCATGTCCAAGATTGGACCTTTGCTAATAATAACCATAAAAATCACCAAAGCTCGAGTGGAGAGTACCTTCGGCTAACTTTACCAACGGGGAAAGCTACCGATCTGCAATTGATGTGGACTGTGTTATATTCAGCGCAATTCCATTCCACCGTCTGAATTCTTGAGAACATATGGTGATCCTAATTACAAAGGAGAAGGTCATATCTAACGAAATCTATACCCATACTACGAGGAACAGGGTTCGATTTGATCAATTTTCGAGGGGGCTAATAATGGCATCTCGAGGAGATTCACTTACATAGTATCTATTTTCGCGACAAGGTTTCGGCTCGGAAGCAGAACCAATCACAACCAGATACATGAAGCCATCCTAAATTATGATTTTATCACTGAATAACGACATTTCAACTGACAGCACTTTGGGAGGAATTACATACTAGTTCCGCTTTACACAAAGCTGGCCCCTTCGTACCTTGCTTCTCGCTTTTCTTCAGCCTTACTACCGTCTTTTCCTTTCTTTTACACATTATTGCCCTTTCAATGCGGCTGCCGGAACAGCATCTGATGGAGGAGTCGACGGATCTGCGTGCACTGGCTTGTCATTGAGTGGCGCCCCCGATCGAGTTTGCGATGTGCCAGACTGGCCTCTTACTTTCTCCCGCTAATGCCTTCCTTCCCCTTTCTCCCACTGGAGTAAGCCTCCCGGACTGGCAATCTTGAGATCTGCAGCCGGATCCTCCATCCCCTTCCGAGCCGCCCCGTAGGTGGGGAGGAGGCTGCTGGAGAAGGGGGCCGTTTACCCAATCGTCGCCACCCCCACCGCGTTATTCCGTTCTGTTAAGCGAGATGAGCCTGCCTAGGATGGATCCTTCGAGCTGCCCGGGATCTTTAATCAGCTGGAACAAATGGTCGGTGATTCGTAGCATATGCTAGCGAGCTCGACGATCAATGTCTGTATCAACTTGGCGGCATGTGAAGAAATGACAGCAACAGCTATGCATATGTTCTTGGAGAATATTGCGAGGTCAATAGCCAAGAGTTTCCACCGTAGGTTCAAAAATTTCCCTTCGGAAATCCCAATGGCTCGACTCCCCATCTTCCGTCGGAATTAGTCGCGGAACCAACTACCACCGCTCAGATCTCCCCCACTCTCCGAAAACCGCATTTGCTGGCCCTGAATCATTAGAATTATTTGAAGAACGGGGCGGACTTCCTGGACTGTCCGTCTCCGTTATAATCTGCGCTCGCCGAGTAAACAATGAGGGGGGACCAATCATGGATCTCTAACAACAAAAGCCCCAGCAGCTGGGCGCCGGAAAACAGGAATAATGTGCTTTATTCATCGATAATGGGAAACGCCTGCAAGCGAGACATTCTGAGTTTGACACTCTTGAGCATAATCTGATGCCACAACCATGTTCCAAGTGATAGGCGGGATGAGTGGTGGTGACAAGAAGTCAACGGTGGAGAAATAACCTCGAAACAGATCTTTCCCATTATGGGCTACGCAATACTTCCGGAGTAGTGGGTCGGAGCTTCTCGTTCTCGTGTTTGAGAACGGCCAAGCAGACAAGTTCTTGCCATCTCATTAACACGTCTGGATGATGATCGTCTTATAAGGCAGAAAGACTACCGAATAACTTCTCACGCGGCTTTACACTGTGTTCTAGCTGTCTTTATTTGTTTACTACGGTAGATGTTCCGAATAACAAATTCTCCGTGTTGAAGAGTGAGTTTATTGTACTAGCATCGTTACTTACATGGGTTTCAAGCCCATTGAGCACTTTCATGATCACCGGCCATCGCTTAAGGGGATGGTTCTGTCCAACAATTGCGTCTTTACTCTTATGTAAGTAACCCTGGAGACTGTCCTTCCCACTACGGAGTACTCAGCCTAGACACGAAATCGCCCCCAACCTCGTGAGACGTGCTCAAACTTGCTGGTGGATACTGCCACGGGACAGTCGGTGTCAAGCTCCACCAAAGCCCTAGCGGTAGTCCTCCGCAGCCTAAGAGTAGGCCCATCGCAAAGTCCCGTGTGCTAGGGACGCCACGGGGAGGAGCATGCATCATCCTTGTCGTATGCCTGCTCGCTCTTGGAAATAAGCTGCTGATCGGCGTCGTGGACAACGGCTTTCTTTTTGCCAATGGTGTCCGAGTGGCAATTGGGACTGAAACATACTCCTCGTGTGATTTGTTAACTAGTTTTCTCTCCCCGGTCTGTTGGGTCCGCTTTGATCCTTGACAGCAGGGGCTTCTTACGTCCTGCTCCCAAGACAGAAAATGCCTTCCTCCAACAGGCCGAGAAAGAGACTGGCCCATGTCTAACATTATTCATGCTGAGCTGTGTCGCGTTGAGACACTGAATAAGGCCCAGTTCATGAAACTAGGCATCGCAGAATTGTATCTCCACCTCTTTGCAGGACCGGAGCATCTAGTGCCCAGACTAGAGCACCGTAGTGCAAGAGGGAAACAAGGAGGGGAGGGCTCACACCACAAAACCAAGTGCACAAGGTCAAGGTCGGCATGATGATCGCAATGGCCGCCCTTGAGACCTAGTACTTTAGTGTGAAGCCCATACCGGTTCAAGCTAATAGACATGTGCCAGAGACAACGATTGGCTTGCTGTCGCATGCGGGACGGGACGTACATGGCCGCCCACCACAGCAACCAATGATTGCTTGAAACTTACCATTCAATCACTCAATCAATGGCTGTCAGATTGGAAAAGAGGGGAATTACACCTGGAGAGCACAGTAGCTCTTGGGATCCTTGTCGATATTTTATTGTGCATGGAGCTGTTCTTCCTTCTTCCTGTGACTATCTCTCCATCTCAGATGCTGGCATTTGATTCCATTCCAACATCATGGGTCTTGCAGAGCATGCACTGTCGCTGGTGACAGTTACCAATGTCTTATTGTCTTTCATTACCTATATCGTTCTGAAGTTCGCTTACCAGATCGTGCACTATCGCTTCTTCCATCCGCTGTCGGCATTCCCCGGTCCTTTCTGGGCATCGGTTACCAGACTATGGATCGCGAAGCAGAACCTCCAAGAAACCGAATATCTGACTGTCTATGATCTGTCCAAGAAATACGGTAGGCCTCAAGGAGCTGTTCGGCTGTCGCATATGCCATTGACTGATGATAATGCATGGAATTAGGCCCCGTCGTTCGCATTACTCCTACCCTGCTGCTGGTCAGCGATCACTTGAAGCTCCCCGAAATCTACCATCGCAATGCCGACAAGACCGGCCATTATATCACTGGGAGCTTTGGAGAGACGGAGAGTCTGTTCAATATGAGATCCCACAAGACGCATGCGCTCTTTAGAAAACACATTGCGGGGCCTGTATGTGGAATAGCGCTAAACAGTTGCCGCTGGAATTTGGGTGTAGGCTAATGCGCGAGTGTAGTACAGCTTCACCAATATTAAGAGAATGGAGCCATTGATCGATGCGCGCATACTTGAATGGAACAACAAGCTTGATGAGACTTTTGCTAAGACCGGTGAGCCTTTTGACTTTGCCTGGTGGGCAGTGTAAGTTATTCAAAACGTTCCGCATACTCTCAGCCCGGTCCATCCGTACATGCGAATGAAGTGACTGACGTTCTATCCAGCTATATGGCCTACGACATTATCAGTGAAATCGGCTTCGGCGCCCCTTTCGGCTTCATCGAAAAGGGCGAGGACATCGGCGGGTTGATTCAAGGTTTCCACGATGGTCTTCCACCTTTCGGCTTCCTCGCACGCATGCACACCTTCACCTCGTGGATGAAGACCACCTTCATGAAGAAATACCTAGTTGCCAAGCCGCAGGATGACTCCGGGATCGGCGTCCTGATGCGCTTCCGAGACCGCCTGATTCAAGAACGCCTGGATGATATCCAATCCGGCAAGCAAATCGACCGCACCGACCTTCTTCAGACCTTCCTCGAGGCACGCACCGAGGACGGCAAGCCCCTGGATCTGGAGTACATTCGTGCAGAGGTCCTTCTCGTCCTGCTCGCCGGCGCAGATACTACCGGTACCGCGTTCCAGGCCATGATTACGTTCCTCTCGTCACACCCCGATTCGTACGAGCGCATGATGGAGGAAATCGACAATGCCACTCGTAAGGGCCTCCTCTCCGACGTACCCCAGTATGATGAGGTGCTCGAGCACCTGCCTTTCTTCGTGGGCTGTGTCAAGGAGACGATGCGCCTGTGCCCGTCTGCCCCGAACATATTCCCCCGGTATGTCTCCGAGCCTGGCCTGGACTTGTATGGTAAGTGGGCACCTGCTGGAACGGAGATTTCCTGTAATCCGTACGTGGTTCACCGTGATCCGGCGCTGTATGGCGAGGATGCGGAAGAGTTCAAACCGGAGCGGTGGATGGATCCGGAGAGAGCCAAGTTATATAACAAGTATAACTTTGCGTTCGGATATGGCTCGCGTGTGTGCTTGGGACGGGATATCGCGATGATGGAGCTGTTCAAGGGCCCCTTGCAGGTAAGCGTGTCGAGCTTTGCTTCATGTAAAATTGGCCTTGCTAAGTATTTACTCTAGTTTTTCCGCTCGTACAAACCTGAGTCTGTGAAGGATAAGCCCAAGCCCAGGTTTGTCGTCAAGGGAGGTGTTGGATATTGGAGGGATGTGTGGCTCACCATCTCCAAGCGGCCTCAGGTCCAGCGGGAGTAGATTTCCTGAAGGGGGTCTCTGCAGCTCTTGGAGTCGAGATACAGTGTACACTTCTTGCCTTGTATATTTGCAGCGTGTGGAGATCACGGTGCTGAACACGGGACAAGTGGTGGTCTACCGCTTCATGTGAAATGAACAAATGTCAATCTAGGAGAAATAATTGAACAGAGAACGAAAACGATTTCATGAGGCTTAACCACAGAGTATATATAAACGAAATTTTCCACATATTCAACCGTAAACCTGGTGAAGGTCAAGAATGATGACTGTTTCTATTGGGTTTGGATGTGCCCTAGAAGAAAACCATGTTGAAATGACAAACAAAGAAAGAGTACCCAATTATGCAGAATCGGGGCCCATGACAGCATCCTACAAAGAAGACTGTTAGTTCTAATCTGGAAACAACGAGACATGGTTGAAACTTACTCTGGCAACGCGGTACAGAGGAACGATACCAGTCCAATGGGCGAACTGATTAACACCTTGGCCAACAAGAACCTCCAGACCAGGGATGGTCTTCCAACCAGCATCGGAAGCCAATTGCATCAGCGCAGTCACGGCGGGCTTGTATGCCATCTCCAGGAGAACGCGAGGCGACTTGTCCGCAATAGACTTGCCGATCAGGGTACCGTCAGCCTCCTGAGCGCGCTCAAACATGTGGCAGAGGGTCTCGCGCATGGCCGGATCGATGGGACGATCAGCGGGGATGGTGCCGATGGCAACCTGGGGTACAGTATCCAACTGCTCGTGGTTGTCCACGACGCGAATGTTGTAGCTGGTCGGGAATGTCGAAACCATGCCCTCGAGCTTGCTGGCGGTGCGGCCAACCACGTAGATAGGAGAGAAACCCATCTGGTGGAGGGCGTAGATGGCAGCGCGGGCAGTACCGCCACCGCCGATCACAACGGCACTTTCGGTGCCAGTGGAACCGTAGATACCCGCGTTGCGGAGGACCTGAACCATACCCTGCCAGTCGGTGTTGTAGCCGATGAGACGCTGGGGCTTGTCGCCGTTGGGGACGGGAACAATGGTGTTGACGGCACCGATGATCTCGGCCTCGTTGGCAACTTCATCCAGGAGCGGCATGATGTCCAGCTTCAGGGGAATGGTGACAGAGGCACCGCCAAAGTCGGGAGCGTGGATGAAATCCTTAACATCCTCAACATTGGTGGTCTCCAGACGGCTGTACACGTGAGGAAGACCCGCCTCAATAAAGAGGGTATTGTGGAGGGCAGGAGACCGGGAGCCAGAGACGGGAGATCCGAAGACAGCAAATTTCTTGGCCTTGATCTCACCCATCAACGCGAGACCGCGGCGAATCTCGGTCGCAGACAGCTGACCAGGAGCGGCCTTGAAGGGGAGGCTGGGGTGGGAGACGGGGGTCATGAAACCGTTCAGAATACGACTGAGCTGGCCCTGGTCACCCATGTTGATGGCGATCAGAGGCACATCGTGGGCCTGCTCAGCCCAGTTCTTGAACTTCCGCAGAGCAGTGTTGTCATCAAGGCTTTTGGCAACGCCGACAAGCTTGATGATGTCACCATACTCCAGAGCACGGTTGTAAGATGGGATCCAGGACATGTTAGCCCATGACAGCTTGCCTTCAGGGTCGTGGTGCGAAGCGATAATTTTAGAGTGACCCTTCATCTCGATGACGGTGCGGAGCAGCTCATCCGGGAAAGCGATTTCGAGATCCACAAACTCGCAGCCCGAACGGAAGGCCAACTTGTACAGCGCCAAGGCAGCATCGTGGGCATCGTCAGGGAAGCGACCACCTTGACTCTTTGTCCGGATGGTGAAGATGATGGGTAGCGAAACACGACGACGGAGGAAGGACATTTGCTCAGCGACAAAGTCCACAGAGGGGATATCGCTGCCCGAGGCGGGGTCCTTGAGTAGATCGACGCGCAGTTCTACGGCATCGGACCCTACGCAAATTTGATGCAAGAGGTCACCACAATCGCGAAGGTTAGGCAGAGTCAGCGAGACAAAGAAGGAGTGCTTCTTCTTCTTGATCTCAGTGAGGTTGTCCTTCCGACCGGTCACGACCTGCATGAAACGCTCAAAGTCCTCTGAGGCCAGGGCAAGCTCCGTTGTGTTCGAGTGCTGGCTGTAGTACTGAATGTTGCTGCACTCCTGGAACCAAGGCTTGCGGCGCAACCACACGCCCATCATATCCTCTACGTAGGCAGGACGGGTTTTATCAACCTGCAGGAACTCCATGACCTGCTTGATATCACGATTGATCAGAAGAACGTTACCCTTGTTCTTGTGGTAGTCGACAAGCAGCCTGCGAGCCTCGGGAATTTCAACAATGCCACCACCACAGGCAAAGACGTAGCCGTTGGATCGATCTTGCATCGTCCGCTGGAGCAGAGCCAACTCTGCATCACGGAATCCCTGCCAGCCACGCTGCTTGATTATTTCAGGAATGGCGAGGCCTTCGGTCTTTTCCAACTCGGTGTCAAGGTCGATGAAGGGCCGATCAAGGCTCTTGGCGACCCAGTTACCAGAAGTGGTCTTACCAGCACCGCGCATACCGATGATGAAGACGGAAGCACTAGCACGCTCCTCACGACCAGAGACAGCCAGTTCTTCCTCCTTAAGCTCCTTTCCTTCGAGATTGACACCGAAAAGCTGCTTCATGGTGTCCCACCAGCCAGGCCAGGTCTTACCAACGCACTCCTTCTCCAGGATAAGAGTCGACTTGGGAGCCACCAGCGACAATACGCTGAAACTGAAGGCGACACGATGGTCATCGTAGCAGTAGATACCACCTGCAGGCTGACGAAGGGTAGTCCGGTCGATGCCGTCGATTTCAAGGCCGTCATCGTGCTCACGGCAGACAACGCCGAACTTAGCGAGCTCGTCCTTCATGGCCTTGATACGGTTGCACTCCTTGACACGCTGGTTGGCAATGCCGTAGATACGGGTAGTGTGGTTCGAGCCCTCGCCACGGGCAACAGCAGCAAGAACGGAGGCAGTGAGGAAAGCATCAGTCATTGGCTCCATGTCCACGTTGGGCAGGGGTCGGAGAATGCCATTGGCAGGTCCGGTGACAGTGGTGGAGTGATCCAACTGTTCAACAGTGCAGCCCATGGGGCGGAGCACGTCAACGGCGAACTGAGCATCACCCTGCAGCGACTTGGCGCCGATGTTGGGAACTGTGCAGGTGGTGCCGGTGATAGCAGCAATAGCCAGAGGGTAAGTAGCAGAGGAGGCATCGCTCTCAACGACGTACTCAGCGGGGTTAACGTAGTGGCCTTGAGGAATGTGGTAGGTGTGCTCCTCAGTGGTGGACTTCTTGACGTCGATGCCGAAAGAACGCATCATGGCGGTCGTCATATCAATGTACGGCTGGGAGATGGGCTTGCCACCAACCAGTCTCAGAGTAACTGGCTCCTTGGCGTAGGGAGCGCACATCAACAGCGAGGACACATACTGGGAAGAGACCTTGGCAGCCAGGTTGATAGCGCCACCAGCAAAGCCACCGGAGGCGGTAATCTTCAATGGCAGACTGCCCTTGCGCTCCATGTACTCAATGCCAGCGCCGTTCACGGTCAGAGCATCGACAAGGTCGCCAATGGGCCTTTGCTTCATACGGTTGTTACCGGTCAGGATGCTCTCATTCACGGTGCTCGGGTTAGCGAGCGTGGCCACGGTAGTCAAGAATCGGGAGGCAGTTCCAGCATTGCCCAGGTACAAGGACGAGGGGCTGGCGGTGATGTTTCCACCCTTGCCGTTCACAACAAGGACCTCACCCTCTTCCTCCCACGAGAAAGTGGCAGCTCCCAGCTTCTCCAATGCATTCAGCATGACCTCGGTGTCATCGGAGTGCAGGAGATTTTTAATACGACAGGTACCCGAGCCAAGCGCAGCAAGGACAAGGGCGCGATTGGAGATACTCTTAGACCCAGGGGGGGCGCAAGTGACATTCAGAGTCTTGGGCACACCAGGGTGCACCTCAATGCTAGGGGCCAGAACAACACCAATATCTTCGTTGGAGACAACGCTAGCCTTCGGCTCATAGGTTCGTCCAATGGCGGACAGGAGGACAACCTTCTTCTTGGGGCCATCATTCTTCTTATCCAGGGCCATATTGAACAGAAGCTGGTCCACAGAGCAATGCTTGTCGGCAGTAAGCTTTCGTACCCGCGAGTCCTTCATAGATGTGGGCAGGCCGTAGGCAGAAATACACTTGACAATACGAGCAACGGCAACGCCCTTCAAGATACCGAGGTGACGTGCAAGCTCAGCTTCTTTTACCATACCGATGGCAACGCACTCTCCGTGGAGAATCTGAGGAGTAAGGATTGCCTCAATGGCATGGCCAATGGAGTGTCCCCAGTTGAGGAGGTTGCGAAGACCACCCTCACGCTCGTCTGCGGAAACAACGAAGGCCTTGTGACGAGCAGAAGCCAGAATGCGGGCCTTCAAGATATCGCGAATACCGTCGAAGCGGCCCTGGCCGGGCTTCGCCTCACTGCGCGCGGCGCTAAGGATTATATCGGCATTATCTTCAAGTGCAGTGAACTCCTCTTCGCTTGAAATGGCAGCAGTCTTGATGACCTCAGCCATGCCGTTGATAAACTCCCGCACTGGAAGTGTCTCCAGAAACTCAAGATCGATGTAGATCCTTGACGGTTGCCAAATAGCACCGATCAGGTTCTTGCCTAGAGGAGTGTCGATGGCAGTCTTGCCTCCAATCGAGGAATCCACCATCGCGAGCAGAGTGGTAGGGACCTGCACATAGCGGACACCGCGCATGTAGGTTGCCGCAATGAAGCCAGTCAGGTCACCAATCACACCACCACCCAATGCAATGACCACAGTATCTCGGCCGCATGGTGGGTTCTGGCTCAGCATCCAATCTTCAATATCGGCTTTAGTCTGTCTAGACTTGGAACTCTCTCCAGGTGGGGCATGGTAGACGAGTAAGCGCGGGGTAGGTGAGATTGAGGCGGCGGCGGCTTCGAAGGTCTTTTGGAAACTCGGCGTATAGATAGATCCGAGGTTTGTGTCAGTAATCAGGACATAGGTGGTCGAGGGCAAGTCACTGATCAGGTCCTTTGCGACGTAGTTGCGCCACAGGCCGAAATCAGCAACGATGCTCTCCCGACCCAAGATGCTGATCCTGGTGGGCTCGGTCATGATGGCAGGCAAGGATAGAAAACGATTGACAATTGAGGATATTTGTTCTCTACTCAATTCATGCTGTGGCTTGTTAGTTTCTCAACTTTCCCAAATCGACAAGAAATGACCTGTTGGGGGGATTTGCTATTTGACCCCCCACAAGCGGAGCTAGTAATGCAAGGTGCACAAAAAAGCGAAAGAGAGGTAGAGAGGAAATAGGGAATCGAGGTTGGCACACAGCCGTGATGAAATATGATTGACTTGCCTGCAACCCTTGACCGAGAGTCAGCGTTTCACCCAGTATGTGCAACTGGCCAGAAAGATGCTTGAGAGCACAGCTGCCAGCGTGACTCAATAATTCTTTTGCCCTCCGATTTCGCGACAGTTTTGGCTTCACCGCCTTCCGAGTCCGTGCGCGTGCGGGCCGGCGGGCGGCTAAGAAAGAGTGATTCTTCTTCCATTAGTAAAAATTACAGAGCTATGCATAGAATGTGTTGATGGAGGTTGATTAGTGGTCTCCCTCCCGAGTGGTTGGTATAGCTACGTTCTATGATGTATCCACTTACGGTAAACTTTTAGAGGATTACAACGGGGTTTAAGAGGTCCCTCGATTTGTCGGCTATCTAGGTACCGCTATGATTCTGGAGCTAGAGCCACAATGCAGATCATCAGCGATCGGAAGCTTAACAAACTCTACGATGGTATCAAGAAGTCAAATGCATTGGGGAAAAAAATTCATGTGCCAATCTTTTTGAAAAACATTTTAGAATACTCAAACGCCGTTTCCTGTCCAATCCATTTACTTAGGCTTGGAATATGGTAGTAGATACAGCAAGATTCATGCGAGGATAATAGAGTAGCCGTGACACCATTATAGGTCTTGTTTAGTAACGACCGTAGCCCCCTCCACCACCTCCACCGCGGTGGCCGCCATAGTTATCGCGGTTCTGGCCTCGAGATCTGCCGCCACGATAACCGCCATTGCCGCCTCCGCCTCTACCCCGATCCTGGTAGCCGCCATGATACCCTTGTTGGCCTTGATGTCCTTGCTGTCCTTGGTATCCCTGGTATCCTTGGTACCCTTGGTGATGTCCCTGATTATAACCTTGGTGGCCTTGATATTGACCAGCACCCTGGTGCGAGGGATATTGATGGGACATGCCGCCACGGGGAGGTCCGGGGGGTCCTCTGGAATAGTCACCAGCCCCTGGGACCGGAGGAACCCAGCCAGAGGGCATCGGTGGCATACCGCCCGGAGGTGCGTGCATGAAGCGTGGATCAAGATGCGCGGCGAATGGATTTGGCCGGTCTGACGAGTAGTCCATATGACCACCACGGCCGCGGCCGTTAAGTGGTGCGCCACCGTATGACCGCCCCGAGTTTTGGGCTCGGCCCTTGACCGCGCGAATATCGGCGGAATTCAGCATCGGGGTCGCGAACTTCACACCACGAAGTAGCATCGACTTGTGCACGTGAGAAGATTTGGGAATCTTGTAGTTGACACTGGAGTCATGGTTAGCAAAGAGTCTTTGGCAGCAAGGAAGTAACTAATGGACTTACGTGAGGGAGTGGTCATCATCGAGACTCGGCATGCCATACTCTTGCAGAGGCGAAACAAGAGAGCCATGGGGAATATAGGTATCATTGCGCCCAACCAGGCCAGCGAGACCATCGCTCACACGCATGTTAAGCTTATACTCAGGCGGCCCAGGCTTCTTGGAATAGAAATTGCTGACAAGATCTTGATAGAGAGAGTGCTGCTCCGAAAGGAGTAGCACTTCCTGGCCGTGTGTATTGCGACCTCGTTCTTCATCTGTCAAAAGAGGATACACCTTCTCCATCGCAGCCAGGAGGCGCTTTTCATCAATGAAGGGCAAAAGAATCACTCCCTGCCAGGCAAATTTCTTTCCATTGAGATCCAAAGCGAAATCCTCGGGGTAGAAGTCAATGATCTCACTTTCCGGGTTGCTCATAAGATCATGGAAGACCTTGGGTAGGGCGTGGTTCGACGATGCTGGCAAGACTCCCATCAGCTGCTCATAGGGCCTGAATGGCTTGCCCTTGTCAAATTGAATATCCATATCCGCAATATCGACAAAGTCGGCAGCAAACGGAGCATAGTGGTACGGGTAGTACCAATCCCACGAGGGGCAGCCCTGGAAGTAGTATAGGAGGACCCAAGCGAGACCCTCGGCGTACGCGCGCGCGACCTTGTGACGGAATTCATGATCCTGGGGATCCACACCGAACTTTTGCTCGTAGTAACGATCAGCATAGCCTGGTTCCCAGAGCTTGACGGTGTCTGGTGGCATTTCATCATCCTTAGGCTTCGGGGGAGGCGGGACAGGTGAATCCCTACCGGGAGTTCCAGCATCCTCCGTCTCCTGCTCAGTTGCCTCTGTTGATTCATCCGCCTTTCTCTTCCCGAGAACGGAGGGAGACGTCGGCTCGGTGGCGTCTTCCCCGTTCTCCGCAGTAGCAGGAGTTTCTTCAGCCGCTGGCTCACTTTGGCCACCTTTCATAAGCTTGCTCTTCAACACAGCGGCGGCGCTCTTGTTCTCCATATTGGCACGATAAATGGCCCCGCGGTTGACAATCATACTGTGAGTCAAATCTTTGTCCTCCTTCGTCAAGTGTCCACGAGTGGGCTTGATGAGCTCCAGGCCGGCAGTTGGGTCTGGGTCAGCTTCACCCTTTGAGCGGTTCTGTTTGGCGTCATAGACAGGGGAACTACGTCTTCGCTTGCGGGCACGCTCTTCATTGCGAGCCTGGTCTTGCTCTTTGCGTCTCTTGTCGTTAGCCGCCCTTCTTTCTTCCGCCTGCCGACGGCGCCGAAAGATTGCGTCCTCTTGCTTAGCGAGACCCTGCAATATCAGCTGAGCCCGTTTCATATCAACATGCCCGTCCTGAGTCAAATACCCGCCCATAGCCGGAATGTTGTCGCGCCAGATAGCAATCAGAGTATCGATACCGTTTTCACGGATATCCAAGGAGGGCAAATGAGGCAAGAAATCGTTTCCAACGAAGAAACACATGAAAACCCAGTCATCCAATGCCCGTTCGAGATCGAAGGGGAACGGCTGCTGAGCAACCTGCAGCTCGACACCCAGGTATTCTCGGAGGACGGAAACGTGGAGCCAGATGAATGGCTTCAATGGAGAAGCATTTTGCTTTTCGTCAAACTCTCCACTCTTCTCCTTCGCTTTACCCGTGCATTCCTCGGCCTTGTGCCCAGGTTGACCACAAAGCTTGCAAGCCCGAGGCTTCGAATCCTGGAAGAAGACATCCTCGCGAAGAATCCGGAAGTGGGGTTCATGAGTAGCGAGACCCAGCATGATCAGATCCGCATCAAGGCCGTACATCACATGGCGAGTGTTGGGATCATGTTCAGGAGACGCACGTTGAGAACGCACGAACTCCATAATCTTGTGCTCTCCCTCTCCAGGAACTGTCGCATCCGAGATGATGATCTTCAGCTTCTCCCATGCCGGATCAGTATTGAGCTTGTAGGCGATCCAATAGCGCAGCGAGGCAGCGAGAATGTCCATGAAGGGAGTTCCAGGAGTGATCACGTTGCTATCCCAGGTCTTCTGGATGACTTCTTCTCTGATAGCGGCATCGCCAGTCGTCTTGCTTTGTTGCCTGTCAAGTAGCTTCTGAAGTTCCCCCTTCTTCTCGTCATTTTCTCGGGCTTCTTGAGCGGAACGGAATCGGCGTGCGCGCTGCTGGTTCATCTTGGCTCTTGGGGCAACACCGTCTGTTTGTTAAATAAAGCTGGTAAGCATAAACATTCACAAGACAATAATTTGGAGACAGAAAGGTTCATTCACGGAATGTGCACATACCAATAGCAATCATAAGTAACTTTCTCGGACGGACCATGTTGACAACGCGATCGGTGTACTTAAAAATCTCCAGCATCATCTCCTGCTCATTGGCAGGTGGAGGCTTTCCCTCTGGATGGGTACATGGGTGAACAATGCCATTCATGTCCAGGTAAAGATTATCCATCTCCTCGCCGTTGGGGTTGGCGCGCGTAGTATCGACCGGAATCTCCTCTCCATCAATTTCCTGGGGCAGTTCCTCAATCACTGAAGATACGATCTTCGGGTACTTGTTGGAAAGCCATCGGAAGAGAGCGGGGACACCCATATTGGCGATGCGACAACCGCTTGTCCGTCAGGTCTCGTAGAAATTGGCGCGACGCTTTCGAATGCGTCTGACAGCGAACTGGGGAACACGCTATGCGCAGTGTCGGCCTGCGAGCTTTCAATAACCCTTCCCTAGGATTGCAGTCCTGTGATGTCTGCAAGACCGAGTAGAGCAAACAGGAATATATGCAACCGCGTATGAATCTGCGGCGCAAAGAGTTGGTTGAGTCAAGAATAAAGCCGGAAGTCTCTGCGACTACCGACAATTGGAATTGTCCCCGGGCGGTCGGCCGTTCTGCGCTTCCGGCGAGGATCGACCGTTAGCCCCCTTTGGCCGGGAAGGCCAACTTTACTGCAATCAGCTCTGCAATCAGCTGCCTTCGGGTTCCCCCCAGACACATTCTCCCTGATCTTGACCTTCCTTCGATGCCTGCCGATTCCTTCGCCCACGGTCGGTAGTGACCATGAAATTGCGACTCAGCTGCGATGTTCCGAATCCTTGAATCGCAAGCTCCGGCCAAACAAACGGCAACGGATACAATCGATATTTTGAGCAGTAGGTTGCAGAGTGCAACCTTGTTGGAGGATCGGCGTGCAGCGATCCAGGGTCTGAGAAGCTTCGCGAAGCTCTATCCTGCATCGGTAGCCTCGGGAGGTCTCCGATCGTTGATCGGCTGCCTGCACAATGATCGGGAAGATGTGGACACCATCAAAGTGGTCCTTGAGACCCTGTTGATGCTGTTTACCCCGGAGGAGACAAGCGTGGGTCATCATAGTGGCTGAGGTCTTTTGAGAATAGTAGACGCTGATAGCTCCTGCAGCCCGAAGCGTCAGATGAGATTGCTCTTTGGCTGGCAGATGAATTTACTCAGGTACGCTACACCGGGCGATCAATATTGGACTACACTAACCCTTCATTATCAGCGTCAAGATAACATCACTACTCTGCTGGACTTACTCGAGGCTCGTGACTTCTATTCGCGCCTGTACTCTCTACAATTGATGTCCCACATCTGTAGTGCTAGGCCGGAAAGAACACAAGAGTGCATCTTTACCGCACCATTGGGTATTTCAAGGCTGGTGAATGTGCTTACGGATACCAGGGAACCTGTTAGAAATGGTATGGCTTTCTTCCCTTGTAACCAATTTCTTTTGGATGCCCTTATTAACAAACCATTTCCTCTCCTGCAGAGGCTCTCGTTCTGCTCATCGCCCTGACGCCCTCCTCGGAAGAGCTACAGAAGCTTGTCGCATTCGAGAACGCGTTTGAAATCATATTTTCTTTAATCGAAGCAGAGGGCGCCCTGACCCTTGGGACTGAAGTGGTCGAAGATTGTCTTACCTTGCTCGCCCATCTCCTTAAGTTCAACGTTTCCAACCAGTCGTTCTTTCGCGAGACTGGTTGTGTGAAGAAAGTGAGGAAGCTTCTTCTCGAATGCCAACTAGAGCCAGCCCAGGCTGAAGATGCCCCCCCACAATGGACCCTTGTTCACAGAGACAAGAATGTCTGGGGTCTTCTCGCCATCATTCAACTATTCCTCATTCGTGGGGGTATGGGGACACCCATGAACCAGACGGCTTTCTGGCAGAATGGTGTAACGGAACAGGTTCTCAGCATAGCCTTCGGCCAGAAGTTCAGCGTTAACGTCACCTCCAAGGCCTTGGCAACCTGTGCCGATCTTATCCGTGGTAACTCGCCATTGCAGGAGAGCTTTGGGGATATTGAGGTCGTGTGGGGCTCTCAAGCACCAAGAGATACGACTGCCAATGGTCATACGGATGAACCAGAACGGATCAATGTTATCGAGGCATTCTTGAAGCTCAGTCTTCAGCCTTCTCCCAATAGTATGCTGGATGCGCGACTTGCCGCCTGTGAATGCATGAAAGCATTCTTTGCCCATCATCCTGGTATTCGCATGCATGTCCTTAGACGCGCTATCGAAGGCCATATTAGCGGGCAAGATCGGATTCCCAACATTCTATCTGTCCTGCTTACAGCGCCTGATGCGAGAGGTAATGCCGACCCCTATCAGGTTTGGATGGCGTCTGTTCTTCTGTTCCATCTAATTTTCGACGATGCGGAGGCGAAGGCGACTGCCATGCAGGTTACAGAAGGCGATGCCGAAAGTGGAGAAGAGGTTATCACCAGTGTTCAATCGGTAGTTGGCAACTTGATCACTGGGTTGCAACGTGGTGACGATGAAAGGATTACCGTGGGTTATCTCATGTTACTATGCGGCTGGCTTTTCGAAGATCCAGACGTTGTGAACGACCTTCTCGTCGAAGGCAGCAGTATCCAGACACTCTTGCAGGAAATCAAGCACCAAAGAACTCCCAGCAAGCTGATACCTGGTCTTTGCACAGCCCTGTTGGGGATTATCTACGAATTTTCAACTAAGGATTCCCCTATCCCACGAGTCACATTGCACAAATTGCTCATTGAGCAACTCGGAAGGGAACAATACATTGACAAGATCACAAAGCTGCGAGAATGTCCCTTGGTCCGTGACTTTGAGGTCTTGCCACAAACTGCTGCCGGGCAAGTTGATGGACTACCCGAAGTGTTCTTCGATCGCTCATTTGTCGAGTTCCTCAAGGATAATTTCAGCCGCTTGATTCGAGCGATCGACCGGGAGCCGGGCTTCGAGGTCTCCGTTGTTGCCAATGGAGTTGAAAAGGGCGTTTCAAGAGACCTTGTAGACTCCCTGCGCGCGGAGTTGGAAGACCGAAGCGAAACAATCCAAAAACTGGAATCTGATCTCGTCACTGTACAACGGAAACTTGACCAAGAACACTTAGATCATCGAAAGACGAAAGAATCAGGGTCAGCTGAACTCTCCAAAGCCCAACAGGCACTCCAGTCTCTTCAGATATCACATGGACAGGAATTGTTCAAGCTAGAAGAGCAGCATAAACACTCGAGGAACGAGCTTCTCAAACAACATGGTGAACAACTTCGCGCCATCGATAACCAGCTCAAGCAGGCCTCTGCTGAATATGAGCGAAAGAGCACGAAGGTGCAAGAGCATCACAAGCAGGAAGTTGCTAGCATGCAGAAGACCATTCGTGGACTGGAGTCAGAGCTAACGAAGGCTCGGGAACAGCATGCTGGTGAAGCTGCTGCCTTGAAAAGGAAAATTCAGGATTTGGAGTCTGCCATCAACCGGTCAAAGGAGTCCAATGCAGGTCAGGTTGCGGATCTTCAGCAAAAGCTTCAAAGTCTGGAATCCGCCCTTGCTTCCACTAAGGGACAACACGATTCCGAAGTTGCCAGTTTCAAGGATACGATCGGATCTTTGGAATCTAATCTGGTAGCTGTGAAAGCGCAGCATGAGGCTGAGATAGCTGATCTCAAGCAATCTCTCGCGACCGCCAAGTCAGGCCTTGAAAGCGCCCAAGAAAAGTCTACAAAGGAGGCTGAGGAAGTGAAGAAAGATTTCTCATCCAAGATGTCTGCGCTGGAAGCTCGCGCTGCGGATGCTGAGCGAAAGGCAGAAGAGGCGGAAGCACAAGCCTTGGAAAAGTCAACAAAGAACATTCAAGCAGCCAATGAAGGCGCCTTGTCAAAGATATCTGCACTGGAGACTCGCGCTGTTGAGGCCGAACGTAAGGCAAGGGAAGCCGAGTCACAGGCCCAGAGCGCTGCCGCAGCACTCAAGGAGATCAAAGCCCAACTTGAGAAGGCTCAGGCAGAGGCAAATGATAAGGAAGAGGCTCGCCAGGCAATCCAAACTGAATTGGACGATCTGTTGATCGTCTTCGGAGATCTAGAGGCGAAGCGAACAGAGGACAAGGTATTTGACCACTCTATTACCCTATTCTACTATGGACAGACACTAAAATTTCTGTTCAGAAACGGCTCAAGGACCTTGGCCAAGAAGTCTCCGAGGCCGAAGACGAAGACGAGGATGAGGACGAGGACGAGGACGAAGATGACGAAGAATAGCAAATTCATTGTTTTTTACTGTCCGTATATAGCAGCGATGGATCGCCGTTCTCACCCTTGCATCTACCTAGCGCAATCAATATTTCATGCATGACTCATTTGCATATTTTGTGTTTCTATCCTGGATTTTTTCTCGATCTCAGATCTGATCAACCTGATTTTCCCTGGATATAAATCGTCTTATTCTATAGTCCATATTCCGCTGGTTATCGAAGGCGGTGAGATGGCGGAGGGGCTGAGAGTCGCAGGACGCACTGGCAAAAAATGTGGTGGTGGGGGTGAGTCACTTCTCTTTTTATCTGCCCCTCGTCCCCGTTGGAAAGTCGAAGTCGTCAACCAACCTCAAGCGCCATGTCTATCGATTTTCCCGCCGAGGAGGAGCTCATCCTCAAGCGGTGGAGGGAGATTGATGCCTTCCAGCGCCAGGTCGAGCTCTCTCGAGGCAAGAAGCCATATACTTTCTATGACGGCCCGCCCTTCGCTACCGGTCTCCCTCACTATGGCCACCTGTTGGCTTCTACAATCAAGGATATCATTCCCAGATACTGGGCAATGAAGGGTCACTATGTTGAGCGACGATTTGGTTGGGATACGCATGGTGTCCCCGTCGAATACGAAATCGATAAGAAGCTTGGCATGTCCGGTCTGGAGGCCGTCGAGAAGATCGGAATTGCGAAGTACAACGAGGAGTGCCGAGCTATTGTCATGCGGTTTGCCGCTGAATGGCGCCAGACCATCGAGCGCCTGGGTCGCTGGATCGATTTCGACAATGACTACAAGGTACGATTCGGGTCCTCGTGGTGTCGCGTGATTCTAAGTGGACATATCAACTAACGGACAACTTCCGACTGGCAAATAGACTATGAACACTAGCTTCATGGAGTCTGTCTGGTACGATCTCCACAAATTACTTGATTATATTACTGAACAAGGTCGCTGACGTCTTTTTGCAAAGGTGGGTTTTCAAGGAGCTGTTCGACAAGGGCCTTGTCTACCGGGGATACCGTGTCATGCCCTACTCCACCGCCCTGAACACCCCCCTCAGTAACTTCGAG